AAGAGCAAATCAATGGTTAAAATAGGCAAAGCAAAAAGATAAAGTGAATAATCAAGAGAGAAAAAACAGCTCATTGTAGAAAATATTTTTTCTTACACAAGTTTATATGTAAAAAAAAAAGAAAGTATTATGAATCACAAAGAGTAGATAATTGAACCATAAAGTGTTGGAGATGCAAATATATCTTGCGTCTCTTTTTCAAGTGAGGAATATTGAAAGCTTTAAATCCAATTCTGAAGTTGCCATTTTATGGTCATAATAATGATTCATTTAAATTTGGAGAAATACAAATATCTGCATACATTTATTAACAGTAAATAAAAACTGATATATCTCTTAACTAGAGAAAATGAAAACTACTGTCTTTTAAGAGCAAAAAATCTAACAAAAACAAATATGTATGAAAAATAAAAGCATGAGGAATAAAAGCCCTTTTTATTAGGATAGACGTGTGATAGTTTTCAAGTGTTATTAGCTCCACAAAAAGCCAAGACAACATTAAATGGATGATTTGGAATTTGGTATCAGCTTTAGCTAAATCTTTACCAACAATCCATTACAAAATATCACAAGCCTGAATAAAAGAGAAAGCAACCAAACATGCAATAGTTTTCTACAAAAATCAGCCAATTGGATGCATTCTCAGACAACAATCGACTAATTGAATACGGAAAGATTGGAATTTTTGTAATCATTCAATAGGCTTGTTGCTTATATAGGAAAAACAATAAGGAACAATGTTTTATACAACAAAAATATGAGTAGAAACTGAAAATAAAAGAGTAATTTTTTTTTATAAAAACTGAAACACATACAAAAGTAAATTTTGCTAGATAAAAATATATTTATTCATATGCTGCATATAATTCGAGAACTTGCAGTTTATTTTACAGTTAGTGTAAATGGTCGACAGATGAATTGTTGCTAGCATTTGTCTGGTTGGAATCTTTAGTGTTCTTGTTTGTTGAATTTCAAACATTGCATGATGAGAATTGGAGAACAATGAAAAAAGAACAACAGACATATTTTACAGCTGTTTAAAATGCTTGTTTTTGTCAGATAGGAAAATCCAACATGGCACTTGAACAAAATATTTGGTGAAAAAATCTCATTCATCAGTAACAATTAAACACCTCATAGAATGCAAAGATCTCAAAGCAAACCTCTGCCAAACTGTTTTCCTGAATCCTTGATGACTTGGCTGTCCGAAAATGACAACATGAAGATGAAATAATGGAAACTGACTGTGGTAAACACAATTATGTGTAACAAGTTCTCAATCAATCAGTTAATTTCTAGATGTTTTTGTCCATGTTATAGGATCCAGATGGCTATTGTTTGCACATGGAATTATTCACTGGTAATTAATCTTCAATTTGGCCATGAAAAATGTCACTTGGGGGTTAGCATTAAAAAATTATCGCCAATTTTTTGAGAAAAATCACTTTTTTTTATGAAAAAATATTTTTTTTCACTTCAAAACAATTTTTTTTCAAACTTCAATCCTTTCTCTTTAAGTTGGTGTGAACATCATTGAATAAAAGGAACCACTATATGACTTGATGATTGGAAATTCAAATGATATGCAGCCAAAAAAACAATGTTATCTACTAAGTATTGTCGTCATCACCCGGGTCACGAGGTGTTAAAAAACAAAACAAAACACATCAAACCAATGTTCAAACATAGGTTTGAAAAAAAAATAACCCCTATTAAGCCATTTTTAACAATGTTACCTCTTTTTTTCACTTTTTGCTCTTATCTTGTAAGTGGTGGGATTTATAACAAACTGATGACTGCTTGTTCTAATGTTTATCAATGGTTGGCTACCTTTTGACCCAGACAAGTCAATTTGGCTTAATTTTCCTTATCACTGCTATTTTTTGAAAAAAAAAACAAAAAAACTCCTGGTTTCTGGTGGTCAGGATAAGTCTTTCATATTTTACTAAAGATTTCTGTAGCTGGGTGTCAGTTTTTTTTAATCCTTTGTGGCCATATAATTGAAAATTACCAATGGACTTTGTCGCATTCTGACCCCATAGGAATGTTGTTTTCCTTCAAACTCTCAATTTTATGCCTGAAATAGTTTGATTATGATTTAGGCTTTCTGATTTTCAAAAAAAAAAAAAATGGTTAATGTTCCATTATTGGGGAAAATTTTTGTTTAGAACTAGAAAAAATGCAAAATTTTCACTATTTTTTCATGTTTTACCACTTTAAATTTTGAGTCATTTACACCAACCAATTTTATTTTTAAATGAAAGAACATATTGTTTGCTTTCAGAAAATACCTATTTTCATGGGGTTCAGATCAAAAGTTCCCTTGATATTTTGTTCAGATGATAACAAAACAGTCATTTTTCAATATTTTACCTTGTTTTACCCCTATAAAAGTATGAAAATGCATTTTTTTCAGAGAAAATAAGCTGTGACAAAATGAAAATAGAAAATTTTTACCATAGCAAACCTGAATTGACTATTTAAGTTTAGTGGGGCTATAGGAACCCTCAAACAGCTGTGATTTAAATTCTTTTTAGTTTATTAAAAAGATTCAAAAAATCTTTTTTATACTTTTATTTTATTTCTTATAAATTGTTTTGTTGCTGTCTTCCAAACTCAATAAACTCAATTTTTTTTCACCATGATACATTATTTTAAATTTAGTTCCCCAAAATAAAATTTTATTGTAGCTTTATAGAAATAATTATAAAATATCAGAAAAACAATCCGAATCTAAAATTGTCAGTTAGATCATTATTTTAACCAATATCCTCATCTTTGTTTTGACTAATGTGCTCTCCAGCATTGCTGAGGTGTATTTTTTCAGCATTGCTGAGGTGCCTTTTCTGGTAACATTCATGGAAATTTAATCAGATTCCTTTATCTTATTTAAATTAATAACTTCCATTACAATAATTTAAAGATTTATGCAACATTTTGTTTTAGAAATCTGAAAAAATAAATGTTAGCAGTTTTTACTTTGTTGTTGTGATTAATACAATGGAAATGAAGATATTAGTTTAAATAATTAATGGAATAATCAAAATTCATTTATGTGATTTTTATAATTTGTTTTTCCTTAAGTGAGACTTTTTGGATAAAAGATTTTTTTTTTATATATTTGGACTATTGTCCTCATCTTTGTTTTTTTTTGATTCACCACATTTTGTCCAGCATGTCCTCTAGACTTTATGCTTGTCAGTTCAGATAACCTTCATGAAATTTCAAATTGAACTCTTTATTTAATCTACAGGGGTAGAGTGTTCTTGTTCCATTGACCATGTCCAGGGATATCTTGTTTAGTTCTTATTTAGTACTACTCATATATAAAAATTTATATAATAAAAAAGAAATGTAAAATTATATAAAAATAATTAAAGAGTAAATAAAAAATTAATACAATAGACTAGGTTTGTTTATTGCACTTTATTTTGAGAGGAGTCTTTAAAAAAAAATTATTAGTAGAAGAAAATTACTAACATGTATTCTTTAAATAAAAACTGCTATAATGAAGCCAGATGGTTAGTAAAAAATAGCTTGAATAAAATTTGATGTGTAAAACTTTGTATATATGAGGCTTAAATTGATGCTGTAAAAATACCATCAAAATGAAGCCTGATGACTTATAAAACAGATACATGTATGAAATTTGTTTTTCCAAAAATTTGTTAAAAAAGGCTCAAGTCTGATGGTTTCAAAACCTGCCTAAATAAAGTTTGTAAACTGGTGGAAATACATTTTGTGATTTTTTTTCATCAATGTAGAAAAGGTACGAGTATAGTATGCAATCTACCATAGTATCAAATTTACTACTATAGTATGCGGTCTAATGTACTATGAATTATACCATGATCTCACCTCACCTCTTGTACTGTCCACCTGCGGTCTACCAAAGTGGATTCTACTATCACCACACCTCACCTCTTATGTGTCCTGTTCACATAAAAGGAAGGAAATGGAGACGCCTCATCAGAATCCCTCTAGTTCTGAAACCGTTAACATCAGTTGGATACATTTTTCAGGCAATGATTTTTTTTTAGTTATTTCTTGCTTTGTTTCTACTGAGTCTTCCTTGTACAAGTTCTTCATGTGAGTTTGAATGTTGAACACCACAGCACAGTGTGAAATATCTTCTTTTTTTTTTTTTTATCAAGAAGAGATTAGCTAAGCAAGAAGGCAACTGATAGGAAAGCAAACTTGTTTCTACCAAAATGTAACTTTTTTTACTGTTCAGGATATTTTTGTTGGAAAATAAATAAATAAAAGAAATATTTGTAAAAAATACATGTAAAATGAAAAGAGGAAAGAATTGAAGCCAATTTTTTTTTTTTTTTTGGTTTTGTGATCAAAATTTGAAATTTTCACAATATTATAGATTAAGACATTTAGAAAAAAAAAATTAAAAGTCTATTATTTTGTTTATTTGCATCTGTAAAGAAAGTATCAAATAATCAGCTTAGAGAAGATATAATTTAAATTTATAAACCATTTTATTTAAAAAAAATTATAGTACTTTTTAGTTTTGTAGACCATGGGTGAAATTAAATTTGTCTGTTAAAAATCAAATTATAAGATTTGACAGGTGGGGACAAACAAAATTACTAGGTCTTTACTTTTGAGTTACAGGCACGGCAAATATAACCAATTTTAAGTCATTAAATATAATTTTTTTAGTATCTCGAACTATGACACTAGGTAAATGCCAAATGGCATAAGGATCTGGGATCATGTATGGTTGGTTGGGATTTTTTAAAATTATTTTATAAGTCTGGGGCGCTAAAAAAGTAGGTCATTTGCCGCAACTCTAAATTAGAAAATTACTCTCATTTCAGTCATACAATATTTACAGTTTATTATCACAATCATAATAATGCCCTCATAACACTGACTTCTGTGTTTTTCTTATAGATCTGCAAAACTTTAGTTTTAAATCCCGTTTTTTCTGATTTACAAATGATAGAATTTAGTAAAAGAAAAGTTATCTCCCTTGGAAAACATTCATGGCAGAAGAGGAATTATCTCTTTTAGCAGAAATATTCTGTTTTCCCGGAGAACTGGTTCACTGGCGTATGTTTTTTATTTTATATATTTATTTAGTATTGCTTCCTCAAATGAAATAATTTGTAAACCAGGAAAAGTGCTGCTAAATTTTCAGTAACAATTATTAAGAAATAATACAAAAATAATGTTGATAATAAAAATAAATTGCTATGAGGATTATTATTACATCACCAATGTTATTGATAAATTTGATTTCGTTATTTAATGAATTGAAGATAAAATAATTAGATATTAAAAAAAAAAATTGAAAACTAATTTTTTTTCATTAAAACTAAAAAAAGCAAACAAAAATTAATTTAGAACCGGTTTTAAAATCAATCTCATCTATTTTTTATTTTATTGTTTACCTTCTTGCATGGCCTGCCAGATTTTGTTTTCTGTCTCTGTGTTGGTTACCAGGCACTTGGAATTGTTGCATCACCAATTTCTCTTCCTTATTTTTTATTCACAGGAAAAAAAGTAATTTTCTTATTTCAGCAAATAAATCTTCGTCGTCTCTTCAGGGGTGCATCGAAATTACAGCGCGAAGCTGATTGTTCGACGAAACGAAAGTGTTGTAGTAGCAGTAGTAATATGCACTTCTTGGCACTCTGGTTATTCGTGATCAGGGTCATAAGTGCAATCCAATGTCTAATTCCAGAGAATCCGTTGACCCAGGTCGTACAGATCCATGAAGTCAGAATAATCAGGATTATGGGCATAGCTATACCTTGCAAGGTGCCCCGTTGTTTTTAACGCGACAATTTGTCTACCCATATGTGGTGGGGGGAGGAGAATTTATCTCGACCCATGACAATGCACATTGAACTTATTTTTTTTTTTAAATATTTTATTGGATAATTTTTTTAAATCATTTCACCCTAAGCAAGACAATAAAGTCACTAAGATGCATGGGTTATGGAGTGTGAGAGAATATGAAGGAGAGAGGACAATAAAAGAACAGGAATTAAGAAGGCAGAAGATGACAATTGGCACTGCATTTAAATTTTTGAACATCAAGTTGACTGAAAAGCAAGAAGCTAGAAGTGCGAGAGAAGAACAATTACCTTGAAAGTATTTATAGAAAAGACAGATACAAAATTACCTACAACTGGAATCAAATTCACAACTTCAAAGATTTTTTGGCAGGATAAATTACTATCATAGATTTTTGCCACATTGTGCATCATTATTGGCCTCATTGACAGATATACTAAAAAGCACTGGGAAAAAAATGAAGAAGTTTTACTTCAAGACAAAGAGGGCTTTGGTAAACTTTATAAAACTAAATTATCTCAGTGAAGGTGTGAATACAGTATTAACTTTAACAGATGCCTCATAGAATGCTGCTGCTGCCATCTTACAACAAAATATTAACAAAGAAAATAAACCCATATCCTTTTTCTTTCTCAAGCCAAATCCTTCACAGATGAAATACACATTTTCTCACCATCTTATCAATCCAACAGTTCCATTATATTATAGAAGGATGTAAATTCACTTATGCCCACTACAGCAAGCCTGGCAAATATTCACCATGTGGAATGAGACAAGTGGACATCATTTCATAATTCATTTCAGACATATGATACATAAAAAGCAAAGAAAATATTGTAGCAGATGTACTTTCCCGTATTTTTATATCCTCAAAAAATACAAAAATTTTAAGCTTACAAGTCAAGGAAAATACTTAACTGTAACTTGAAAGCTTGACATTCTTATGTTACATGAAAAAAGGTTATCTTAGACCTTATATTGCCCTATCATTATATAAGAAAATCTTTGACCATCTTCACAGATTATATCATACCCTGGCAGACGAGCAACCACCAAACTGATAACTGGTTGTTTTGTGTGGTCAAACATCTCCACTGAAATAAAACCTTTGATGGAGCAGTGCATTCAATGTCAAAAATAGAAAATCAGGAAATGTTGACTTCCCAAGCTGAATAGATATTTATTATTGCTTTCATACAATAATTGTGGCATAAGGCCAAAGGGGAAGTGGGGAAAAGGCTGGTTGACACTGATTATCCTAGTCTGAGTTAATTGCAGTCCTGACCCATTCATTCCTTACAATGTACACAATCACCACAAGAACTTGTCCATCACCTCTCAATCCTACATATACCACAATACCACGTATTCACAAGGGACCTACAAAACACCCCATGATGTAAAAATTTGTAAAGTTCATAATGTCTCTTTTGGGGATTTTTTTCTTTTCTTTCTCTTTTTTTTAAAAAAAATATAAAAATTTATATAACAATGAAAATAATTTTAGTAAAGGAAAGATGTGGCCTTCATTTTAATCCTTTTTGGTCTGTTCTTAGCACAACGCAACTACTACAACCTTTGATGTTCCCGTTCTCAGTAGTAGAAATAGTAGTAGTAGTAGTAGTAGCAGTACTTAGCTGTTAGTGGTGGTATTTTGCTTTTTCATCCTCATCTTCAGCAACACACAGTGGACGCTTCCTTTTCAATCTCTGATGTCTCTCCACTCAGTTTGACAGCATTTGAAGACAGACAAACCCCAAAACTCTCACTTCTCCTCCGGTTATTAAAAGAACTGGCCTAACATGACCCAGACTAGTGACATGTTTTTTTAGTGCGAACGTACTGACATACTACCAAAGTACAATTTCACTCCAAGAATAAACAATTTACTTTTTCATTGATTGGTTTCCAAGGTCCACAACAAGATTCTATTGTTTATCACCTCGCTATTAATTATTCTGTCACTTTTTGTAAACTACAGAGATTCTTGTTTTAAAAATAAATTCTAGATCAAAACATCCTTGATTTAACTTTGATTCTTATTGTGTCAGAATCCAAAAAATTCCAATTTATTATTGTTCCAGTAATATTCTATTAGTAATCTGATATCCTTTGTACACTTACAAAAAAATTGTATTTCGTGTTCTAAATTAACTTTCTGTAACGTTTACATTTCAAAGTCTTTACAGCGTTTTAGCATCTTGGTTATTCAAAAACACCTCTTTTTCACTTGGTGTTTTCTGTTTTACAGCATATCATTATTATTATTTCAGGGGTGATATCGCCCCTGCCACATCCTGTTCATCTGTACCACAGAACTGGGAAAGTGATACAGGAGGTTTGAATCTGGTAGTCTGCAGGACAGTAGCCAGGTATTGATGGTCAACCCTGTCAAATGCCTTGAACTGATCTTAATTGATCAGTGCAGATAGCTTGTCATCTTCTACACCCTCTATGATCAGGCAGATCAGATGCAGGTTGCTTTGAATTGTTCATCCTTTCACAGCACAAGTCTGCTCAGGTCCCAACAAGCTCGTGACAACTGACTGCAAGTGGTCCCTCAGGATCTTGGCCCAAATTTTTAACTCTGTAATCATCTAAATTCCACCCACCATCTTTGCCCTTTTTCAACAGTGTAATCCTGCCCCTGGAGATCCGATCAGGGATGGATCTTTGACGGAACCAGTTGTTGAACATGACAGTCAAAATCGGAACAAAGATGTGCAACAGCCTCAAGTACAATTCGTAGGGCAGACCATCAAGTCCTGGAGACATGCCACTGCCAACCCTTTTCAATGACAAGTGAACTTCACCCTCTGTGATGCCACCCTTGTAGTCATCTGCTTCAGTCAACAAAAGTCAGCCAAATAGCCATGAAACTCATCACCACTGAGACCAGGCTCCTTGGTAAAATGGTTCTTGAAATGCCACTGAAACACCTTACACATGCCTTTGATCAACCTCAGAGTATGTCCCACTGGGGTATTGACCTTGCAAATGTATGAATCGAAACTTTGATCTTATCTTAAGATTATCTTATCCTTAAGCCTGCTGCTTCTGTGGTTTCTTCGATGGAGCAGCCTCTTTGGGAGGGACTGTCTGCTGGGGAGGAGAGGTCCTCCATTGTGGTCAAAAGAAATTAGCAACTCTGTTTTGGGACACAATTTCAGATTAGGCATTTCTTCCCTCTATTTTTTGTTGTTCTCTTCCCTGTATCTGCTTTGTCATTTATTCCTCTTGTCACAACTGTTGGGATACATCATACTGTACATACGATGTACCCCAACATAGACGTCTTTCATCTCCATCATGGCCTACTTATAATGGGGAATCACCAATAGCACACCTGGATATCCCTTGTAAATTCCAACCACCCTACTATTATATACAGTTGCTAATGAAACAATTTCTTGTGGGACAACAAAGAAGAAGGGTCTCTTTTGACAGAATGATGTACTTGCCATCTCTCAAATCGAAGTTCTACATGCCAGACAGAGACAAACTCTCTTTTGTCAAGAATAAGACAAGTTCTGTTTACCATTTCTGCCAGTTTTGGTTCATTATGTCTGCCAGGTAACCCAAATATTACCAGGTGTACTAGTAATGGAATATTGATTTTGATACTAGAACACTGCCAGCTAACTTTTTCACTCACCAGTAAAATGTCCCACATAGCATTGGAACATCTGGCAAGTAATTTAGCTTGTATTTGGAGGCCATTTTTTCTTGTTTGTTTGCATTGAATTCTTTGAAGCTTTGGTAAAGAATTTCAGTTATCATTCTCTGTTGAGAATAAAATTAGTTTAACCATGGTAATTAGGTTCAAAGAGTTCTTTTAGCTAAATGGTCAGTTGGAATCTGAAAGGTTGAGAAAGTCATTCTTGGAGTTTGGTAATAATAATTTGCTTTGTAAAGATTGCTTAATATTTTTTGTAGATATAAATTCATCCTTCTGTATAATCTGAGCCAATCTCTGCAAAAAAAAAAAATATATATATATAAAAAAATATATATATATATATATATATATATATATATATATATATATATATATATGTATGTATGTATGTAGAGTGAGTGTTTAAATGTAAAATAAATGATAGAACCATCAAACAAACAAAATTGACAAATTTGCAATATGCAATGAAAAGAAAAGAAAAGAACAGGGTAAATAATATAAAGCAAACAAACAATATATGCAAGGCAAATTAATATAATATGGCAAAAAGTTCACAAACTAAGAATTGGTGTTGATACACAAGAACAAGTTCAGACAAGCAAACATAACGTTCTGACTTCAAGAAAAGACAGACTAGTACTGAGTCAGATGAAACCAAGAACTGGCCTATTTTATTGGCCAGGAAAAAATCCCAGCATGCATTTGTGTGCTTTGGCCTATGATTTGGAGAGGGAAAGTATTTTTCAGTCATTTTCCAGTAGAGTGGAATCAACAATATATATTAGGTTGAGTCATAAGTAATTTTCACTTTGGAAACTAATAGCAATGAAAAATATATCATCCTAACCTATCGTTCATGAAATATATCATAGCAGGTGATGAAAAATGGGTTCCATATGACAATGTTCAAAGTAAAAGACAGTGGATTGACAAGGATAAATCTCCACAACCAACCCCAAAAGCTGAGTTCCCTCGAAGAAGACTAATGTTGTATGTTTCATGTGATCATCGAAGTATTATTGATCTAAAGTTCATAAAATACAATAAAACACTAAATGCACATTTATACATCCAGCAGTTGCAATGTGTCCAGAAAGGTTTGATTCAAACTTGTCAATAAGAAAAATGTTGTTCATCTTTATGACAATGCAAGACTGCATACAGCAAGAACAACACTGGCAAAACCTTTCAAACTTGTATTCATATTCACCTAACCTTGCATCAACTGATTATTACTTTTTTTGATTGCTTTTGTGAGGGAAATATTCTTTAATGAAAAGCAGATTCAAGACTTTGAAGTCTGTGGAATTTTACTCAAAACATATTGACAAATTGCCTGATAAGAGACAAGAAGTCATTGCAAATAATTGAAAAGTTTAAACTTCATATTTGTAAAAAAAAGGTGTCAAAAGATCATTTTTTACTTGCTTGATTCCCTCAGCAATGTTTATTGTTTTAAGAAGCTATATTTAGAATTTTAATAATTTATACATTTTCTTTGTTATCTGTCTATATTTCTGAGATGAAGTATTATGTACACTATTTACATTACTTGGACTATCATCCTCATCTTTGTTGCCATATTTATCACGTTTCGGCCGTTGTACACTCTGGCCTTCTTCAGGTTGTTGGAATGTCAAACCAAACCCTTTAGTTCACTTGCTGGGGTAGACTGTTCTAGTTCCACGTGCCATATCTACTGGATGTCAGTTGTCAGTTATCTCTGGTTAATTCCCCTCTCCAAGTTCTCCACAACCTTAACCATGTAATGAACTCACACTCTTTGGGTCTTGTCACTGGATCTAACTAATGCCTTTATCCACTGTGTCATGTGTCCTTTCTTTGTTCTTGACAACAAAAATATTAAACACACTATTTAAACATTGCATTTATTTATTAGATTGTCTACTTACAAGAATAATCGTATAGTTACAAGATTATAAAAACAGAAACCAACTACAATTCAATATTTATCATTTACCATTTTCTAAAAAAATTGAAAGCAAATTTTTTCAGAAATTTATAACAATTTAGAAAATTTAAATATGAAAAGAATATTTTTATTCATTATTCTATAAAATGTCTGTGACCAAGAAATTTTAAGCACAAAAATAAGCATATAATGATGCATTACTGTAATTATGAATTTTTGAAAAAATACATTTTTCAGGCATTTCTTTTAGTTACTCTCACCAATTTTATAAATTTTTTAATAAAAAAGATTTTTCATATTTCTTTATAAAATGGTAAATAACACATATTGCATTGTAGCTGGTTCACATATTTTTATAATCTTCTAAATATAAAACTAATCTTCTAAATATGCAATCTAACAACTAAATAGCATGTCATATATGTTTTTATTAAAAAAAAACAATAAATTATGCAGCACTTATTTTGATTAGCCTCATTATTTAGAACAATTACTTTGCTACTTATATAAATGCAAAAGAGTCTTAGTTGGCAATAACATATGTGATAGATGGCTATAAGAAGTCACTGTTGATTATTTATGGGTAATTTATTTAAGTAATGCATTGACTATTATTTGTGTTACCTGGCAATAATTGTAAGTAAAATGATGCACTAAAATAAGTAACCAAGTAATCATTTTATTTTCTCTGAATATTCGTACCTTATTAAAATTCTAAACATAGCTTTTTAAAATAATAAACATTGTTGAGGGAGTATACATTAATAGCGGTGTCACAAGAAAGCCATCCTTTTGTTGCACCATTTTTTACAGATACATAGGGTAAACTTTGCCATATACCATATTTTCTGGCTTACAAGATGCATTTGTTTTTCCTAAAAAATACCCTGAAAAATACATGTGCATCTTCCAAGATGGATGTAAGGCAACACCCAATCTCAAGTAAGCTTGGACAGTCAACTAATTGGCTTGACTGATAGAGACATGGATTTGTATGTTGAGTCATTACGCTAAAATGTTAGCTATCTATTTAATTCAACCTTTTATATGATATAACTTCAGTACTTAGCTATTATAAGTACTGCCAAACCTTCCTGGAGCCGAGCCACAAGTTTAAACATGCTCTATATACTAGCAGCGGTGGGAGCTTTTCTGCTCTTGACTAGTATATCATTGCCATACAAACAAAATCAGACAAGTGAATAATGTAAACAATACATGGTGCCAGTATGTGTGGGATGCATGGTGAATGTGTTGTTCTATGAGAATGACATTTTTTTTCTTAGAAATTTCTTTCCAATATTAGGGTGTGTCTTCCAAGCTGCAGTGTCTTGTAAGCTGGAAAATATGGTAATTGAATAAAATGTAATTGCACTTTATTTTTTGAAAAATAAAATTAATAAATAAAAATGAAAATTATTTATGACTCAACCTAATATTTTTTTTCAAATAAACCCATTCCTTACCAATTTATTTAACCCAATTATTTTCCTTGTATCCTATAAATTGAATGTTATATAGTGGTGAAACTTCAGATCAAAATTTAACTGATAAATGTGTTAAGCTAGTGACTTATTGATCCACCTATGTATATTCTTATTTTTCAAAGACTTCTTCAATATTCTTATCTTACTGCACTGTTCTCCTCTGTCCAACTCCATTATTTAAATTTATACATTTTGTAATGACTTTCATGCAAATAAAAATTACAAACTTCTCAGTGTTTAAATATTGTGCTGGCAAGCCTCTTTTCATTCTTGTTGGAAGTTTCATCTTGGGCCATATTTGTTTTCATTGAATGGTAGAGATACAGTTTTCCCGTGGAATCAGAATCAAAGATATAAAAATAATAATGGATAGAAGAAAGACATGTTAACTATAGGAAAAAAAAAAACACTGTATATTGTGGATACAAAACATTAATGATTCTATTAATAAAGTAATTTGTATTGTAGTGTTGATATATTTTAGGGGAGTGTTGGAAGTACATTGTAATGAAGTAAGTATGAATGTGTGTGTGTGTGTGTATGTTTAAGACTTTTCATAGAATGTACAGATACTGCACTCTGATCTTAGTAAAAGAGCTGGGGAATGACATATCATAGGCAGGAGCAACAGAAATACTTTGTAATGGGACAGGTAATGTTGGGTGTTGATGTAGTAGTAATCCTGACTTGATATTATTTGAGTTTTGTTAAAGTAATTACCTCATTGTTATATGTATTTGTAGTGTAGGAGGATTCCTTTTATATTGAAAATGAAATGAATTAAAATGGACAACAATATAACAAACAATAAGGCTTGAGACGTGTTGACATAAATAGCAAGAATTTGTATTTTCTTTTTGTGATGTGAATTACAGAATATTGGTATGGTGTGTGTAAAATGTTCTCAGTGTCTCTTTTGTTTGAAAGTCAGTGCTTACTTGGTTTGGTTCTGAGAATTTCATTTGTGAGGATGGCGTTTGACATCATTTGTTTTTGATCTTCTGGAGTGCTGGCAAATGTGTGCTTCTACTGACTACTGTAATGGGTACCCTAGTCTACATTACTATACTCTATTCTACTGACTCTCTTGTGGTGGAAAGGTTGTTTTTATAATGATGAGGGTTAGGATGATGAAATATCCTTCTTTTCCATCATCACTGATGGCAAGCTTATTTTTAGAATGATGAAATATCGTCATCATTCTAGACCATAACAACTTTTATCTTCAACAGAAGTTCCGCTTCATGCATAAATAAGCCTTTGATTTTTTATAGGTATGATGCTAGTTAATATTTAAATGCTTTCTAACAGGTTGTAGGGTGAGGTCGAGGAATGATAACTCCTTTGCCTAGTGGAATGGACAGTTCTGGCCATTTAAACTAATGTAAGAATTTATTTCATTAGCAAGAAACTTTCCAAATGTATATTTAACATTTTTTCTTTTTTAAATTTAAAAGTTTTCATTTTGGTAACTGCCATATTTTTGTTTCTTCTTTCCCATCAGGATCCGGGGATGCAATCCATGTTAATGTGAAAATATCTGAACCATGTGCTCAAATGGGATCCCATGATGTTCTGAATAATTTTGTTCTGCCATTAGATTATCCTTCAAACAGCATTTCAGAAATAAATATCACATCCTCTTCTTTGCCAGCTGATTTTATCAATCGGATCAAAGAAAAGCTGCAAATACATGCAGTCACACGTAGAGGTATGTAGAAAAACAACAAAAACAAGTAATCACCATTTTTTTCCATGCTGTACTAAGTTAGGTCTTTTATTACTAATCAGTGTGATACAACTTGCTAAACGAAATTAATTCATGAGAGAAAATGAGTTATTGCCCTTGAACTCGAATTGACTTTGTCCAAAACAATTTTTAACAGATGATGTAAATTAATATTTTCCTGTTAAGTGCTAAATAACATTAATTATGTAATTTTCCCCTTTTTGAAATTTGTAACATGTCTTCATTTTTTTTATTTGTACACTGCTTGACTGATACCTGTTTCCCAGTTATGCTATTTAGTTTCTAAAAAAAATGCTAGTATTGTAGAAGTTGACTTGCAACATATATATGTTAGTCAACTTCTCTAGAGATAAAATAGTAACAAATTTCTATAGGGGTAAAATAGTAAAATGTTTTTTCAAATTGTTGCTTCTTTGAAATTTTAATATGTAAATAATCATATATCATATTTGATGTCATAAACATCTCAAGAGCATATAAGATCTCTACCACTTGAGATGAGAATATGAAAGAAAAAATTGTTAGATCCTATATCAAATATTAGTGTAACTTTATCCATGTTTCATATTTGGCCCAGTTTGTTTTCATGTATTTATTTACAAATTTATGAAATGTTGATATTTGTAAAAAAAAGAAAAAGTGGGCCTTACATACATTCAAACAGATCATTTTGTTTATGCATTTAGAATATAAATTAATGGCAGTCATTTTCACTTATTAGGAATCTATTAAAAAATATTTTATATTGTTAGCATTTTCAACAAAAAAGATTTTGATTTATAATTGAGTTTGATCCGAAATAAACATATAGGCAAACATGGACAAACATGCCCACAATAAGATGGCATGTCAAAAGGGACATTTTTCTCACATTTATTTTTTTAAGAATTTATGACAAAAATATTAAACATTATTTATTTATTAGATTTTAGTTTATTTACAAGAATAATTTTATATTTACAACATTCTAAAAACTAACGCAATGCAACATATATCTTTTACCAATTTATAAAGAAATAAATGTAAAAACAATTTTTTATTCACAAATTTATAAACATTTCCTAAATTATTAAAATGTTAACCAACTATGAGGAAATAATTATTTCAGTCAGTTATGTGCCATGTGTGATACACACTTAGACAATCATGTATCTTTTGATACATGACTGATGAGGCAGATTTTTTCCCTGCAGTAGGTTGCCATTTCTTTCTGCAGTAGACCAGTTGTCATCCAAGGCTATAGAATCTGGTCTGTTCTCCTATTTACCCATAGCTGGTGGTGGTGGTGGTGTTGGGGTGTCTGAAGAAGAGGATTTATACCTTTCCCAAATTAGTACGTAAGTGAATGTAATGGATTTAAATGGAATTCAAACTCAGCTCTCCAATTCCTCAATCCAAGCTGCTATCCATTACTCCACTGTGCCTCATTATTTACCATTTTATAAAATTGGAATGAATTCACAATTAGCTGATGTTTTTCCAACCATTCAATAAATAATATAATAAATAATGTAAATAAACAATCTAATAAATAAATAGTGTTTATTATTTTTTGTTGTCAATTCTCAAGAACAAAGAAAAGGTATAAATTCATTTTCATATATTTAGGTTTTATTACAATTCTAATCATCATTTTTTAAAACCATAAATATTGTTGAAAAGTGAAGCTAGTTAAATAAGTGGTGTCAATGGAAAAATCCTCCTTTTCACACACTATGTCTTATTACAGGTACATTTTTCCATGTTTGCCAAACATATTTTATTTTAAATTCATTTAGGTGAACCTATGTTGCTGGAACTTATAGAGTTGTCTAAGGAAAGTTTAAATAAACTCCATAATCAAACTGATCTGTGCCAACATTTAGATAAGGCAAACATCCAACAGAAGAAATGTTTGCAAGCTGAAGACATCCAGTCATGCACTGATCCAGATTCTACTGAGAAAAGACAAGCAAACTGCAGCTCTATACAATATAAGGGACTATGGATTACATTAATTCAGCTTGACCATATGCGATCAAAGTCCAAGTATACAAAAATCATCAAAAACTGGTCCAAATACTTCAATTTATCTGGACGCCTGATATTTTGCCAGAAGCTTATCCTTATTTTGCTGTTGGGTGATCGTGAAAATCTGAAGGTAATTTAAACTGAATTCAAAAAGCAAAAACATTATTCGTTTCATTCACTTCAAATTCAGATATGTCTGAATTTCTGGATGAGGAGTTATCATTATTTACATTCAAACTAATGCCCTCATCTTTGTTGTTTTTACCACAATGTTTCAAGACAATAGCCTCGAGGATTCAAGTGTTGGTTTAGGAAATTGGGGGTTGGGGCATAGTAATTGGGAATTCCCTGGGTAGGTAGTACAGACTCAAAAGAAAAAAAGGCTAGCAATAACTGAGCAATATTAAAAAAAGAAGATGCTGTATCCTTAGACCTGGACTGCAAGATGAGAACAATCTATCCCAGTAGATTAAATAAAAGGTTCAGTTTGAAATTCCCTGAATGTTACCTGGATTGATAAACACCTGAAGAAGGTCAGAGGGTACAATAACCAAAATATTGTGGCAATAACAAAAAAGATGAGGACATAAATACAAATGTAAATGAGGTAAATAATAAAAAAATTAATTTCAAGTTTGTATTTACAACCCATATGTACCAGTTCCTTTGTTTAGCTATTCATATAAATACATTTGTGTTAACAAATTTGAATATTAAAAGCAAACCATTAAGATCTGATAATCCATACAGAATTGGCTTTAAGCCAATTGGAACCATTTTTCTAAATTGGACTTCACCCAAATGTAATTTACTTTAGTCTTGTCAAATACACATGATGACAAATTTTACTCTTTTTGTAGCTTTATTTTAATTAATATCATTGCTAATAATTCCATCAATATTATCTTAATTTTATTTTTTTAATTGGATAAATCATTGTCAACAATTATTCATTTTTGATTAGTATTTTTTTTATCTCAATTGCTTTTCATCACATCTGTTCAGACTGTCAGTCTATTGCCATCAGAAAACAGTATATATGCTTAATTCATTAAACTGAGTCCCACATTATTAGCCACTTCATGTTTTATCAATATATAAACTAAATACTTCTTGGAATCTAAAAGTTTATTTTCTGTATAATACCAACATCTATCTGTGCAATTTGAATGAAAGTCAGTTTTTTCTGTGAAGATATGAACAAATGGTAACTATTTGCATGGAATGTCCTAAATTTTAAAGTTTCAAGTTGCAAGTTTGAAGCTTTAAAATGAACCGTAAAGATAATCTGATGGAGAAACAGAAATATTTAATAATTTTGTATCTTGCAAAAGATGAAATTGCAAATTGGCATCTCTAATAAGGACAAGCTGAGAATTTTATCTTGCTGGTCTTTCTTTCATAATTAGAGAGAATCTGTTTGTCAAGCTATATTGATTTTAGACATTGTGCCAACAAAGCAGTGTCAAAAAGCACTAAATGTTGGATAGTAAATCAAGTAGCAAAATAGGTGAGACCAATCACTAGGTCATGTTTAAAAGACATTGATAAAGTAAATCAAATGAGATGAGCAACAGAATGCATGGCATGTAGACAAGTTTATCAACAGTTCTTGTTACCAATGAATTTCATGCCAAAAGAATGACATGAAGACTGAGTGGCTAATGTCAGAAACCACCCTAACAGGTTAAGACATCAATAAGACAGAAATAGCATTATGTTTGGGGTGGGATTATAGATGGTGAAGTGGTAGGTCTATGGAGAGTTCCAGATGGTATTAAGGTGACAGATCAGCTATGCAATGAATTTTTTTGAAAGCACACATGGAGTCATAGTACAAGTAAAAACTAAATGCTTACAAACTAAAGACTGTTTTTAAACTTTACAATGTTTGATCATATTTGATGAAAATCACTAATGAATAGTTTAGTTAGTTTAGTTTCTCCTTCCACTTGTGCTGTTAGGCGTCACAGGGAGACACAGTTGTCTGTCAGCGGCAAGGCGAGTTGCCTGGAGGAGAAATATCTCGTGCGCTCTGAGAGTGTCTGCCACTGAGTCGCTCCAGTATCTTCTTGGTCTGCCTCTTGCTCTCCAGCCATAATACCTGAAGGTGTATACTAATGAATTGGTTTCAAAGACACTTTGAGGAAGCAGAAGTGGATGTTTTGTTTGTCCAACCATAATCCACTTGAAAACTATTGAAAAGTATTCTAAACAGGAAGGTTTATATTGGCAGACAGCTACTTACTAGCAAAGATGAAAGTTGGAATCCTACTCTGGATCCTGTTCATTCTGTTTCATATGACTCACAATAAATACATGCCTTTTAAAACAAGTTTCAGAACATAGAACATGCATTTCATTTATAACTTTCTTGTCATTAAAATGACAAAGTTTTCAATTATTTGTTTATAACATTTGTCTTTGTAAAATTTGCACATATTCTGTAATTTCAACATAATGTCTCTTGGAGTTTTAGTGACTTGGCTAATCAGGTGAAACTTGGAAAATTTGGTAAAATTTATAAAACTGTTGCCACATTATAAGATTGACATGTAGTCAACAATAATTTATACAGATGTAAAAGATCCTGCATCTTAATAATCCCAATATTTCTGAGAATCCCTTCGTTACTTTTTTAAAGCATTAGGAAAAATTAAAAGTCACTGATAATGTAAGATGCAGTATATTCCCAATTTGTGTTTTTTTTATTAAGTAATTGTGAAGTAAATCATGATGAAAGAAATACTAGTCAAAAATTAATAATGTTATTTCAAGTTTTTTTTTTAGACTATTGATCTCATTTTTTTTGTTGTTGTTTTGTTTGTTAATACAAAAGTATGTTTGATTCAGTTTAGAACAATGGCACTTAACTTTTCCTTGTCCAGCACCCCTTTTCAGATATTTGTGTTGGCTTGTGCCTTGCACCACAGATATTAAAGTTACACTGGTAAATGCAGCCTGAGTTAATGTCCCATGGTTACATTTTCTTGTATTCAGTAGCAGTGGCTTTATCTTGTATTCAAGAATTTAATTTCTTTCTTTTTTGATCACTTCCTTTACGATGAAGACATTGATGACTAAATAGATCAATTCTTGCATGGAAGAGGCAATGACATTGTTTGCATAGAAATGTTGGTGAAGGATGAGGTCAATTTTGTTGAATCTTTCTCGTTTGTTGTTTGACTGATTCCTTTTCGCTTTTGGTGGCTTCAAGTTTTTGGTTCTGATGGTGATGTTGCATTATAGCAATGCTAATCACTGGAATTAAACTGTAACAAAAACATCCGACTGACAGTCACTAAGTAAAACCACAGAAGCTGCTGAACTTTAACTTGCAAGTTTTTATTTTATATGCATATTGTAATTACAGATAAATGTTTAAAAATATGTCTAAAAATGTAAGTATATAAGCAAAACAATAAACAAATAAGCTATCTGATTCTTTATTCAACTAATTTACTTATCTGGAATTGGTTTGGATGTGCCTCGCTATTTGCTTAAGAAAAAATCTTTATGTGATAAGTCTTAATTCCTTGTTTGTTTTTATTCTGATAGGAGACATTTCAACTTAGTATAAGTTAAAAGTTAATAGATAATATCATACTGTCAGTTCCCTAACTAACCTTACTGTCACACATGTATTCAAAGCTTACTTTTACACTTGACCCTACCACTCTTACACTGATCTTAAATTTCCTTTTCTTGGTTAAGAGATGGGGGAATGTAAATGGAAAGAGGAGGGATTGTTTTGGCATAAGCAGTGAAAGAACTGGACAAACTTTTCATCATTTATCTATCCAACAGTGCTCTTATCCTGTAGCAGTGTATGTACAAATATAAATGTTGCTCCTGTTGTTTTTACTATGAAACAACACAACTCATAAAGTTAAAAATTAACTTCTAAGTTAAACTACAGTTGAAATCACACATTAGGTTAACTGTAACCACTAACATCTTCACCTACATGATGATATTCTATCTTCTAATTCATTAATTTTTTTTTATAGTTTAAGTTACTACTCTGATATGGCCTTCCTATATTTCTGTCACATCTGGTGCATGTCCCTTCTTTCTGGTCGTTTTGGCAGAATCTTTAGAAACTATTTTCTTTTCTAACCATTTTTCACAACTCTTGGCTGGACTACCCACTTTAGTCAACTCACAGTTTATATGAAAACCCAAATCTACTGGATTCTCACCAATGATTTATTGATATAATTTGACCATTAATTTATGTTCTTAAAGGCTTCCTTTGTTTTCCCATCCATATGACCTGTTCTTTCTCTTGATGGAGTTTTTGACAGTTGACTTTCCTGAGGATTATTCTCCCTATAAGACCACTGATATATCTGTCTTTATGTACATAAAATCAGTGTCCTTTTAGTTTTGTCCAAGTTTTTTTTCTTTTGGAAAGCTCTTTTCTCTGAAATTATTCTGCCTAAGAACAATAGGAATCTTATGAATAGGTTTTTATGAAAACAACTCAGTCTCAAGGACCCCTAGAGATAATTCCTAATTCCAGCCAAGGAAGTAATTTATTCCTTGTTATCACTTGGCAAGTGCAGCAAGTGGGTATAGAGTAGTGCCTTGTTATACTAATTTATCTCCAAGTTAATATTCAGGTTTGATTCCTTAAGAATCCATCAACACATTTAATTTCTTGAAACAAATTAACTTTCTTAATTAGTTTTTTTTGCATTTAATTCTAGTTATCATTAAACACAAAAAACCTTCTCTTATGTTTTTCTTCCCATCCTATATCATAACATTGAACATTTCTACATTTAATCTTTTTTTTCTTCACTGTCAAGCCTCCTTTGAGCCTTGCTCTCCCTGTACAGGTGGGTTATAACCAACCTTGTCACAGAAATACATTGTAAAAAATTATTTCCATCAATAAATTTTTGAAAAAAAAACTATTACCAGCAATACATTTTGGAAAAAAATATTACCAGCTATACATTTTTCAGGAAAAAAATATTACCAGCAATAGCTTTTTGAAAAAAAATTATTACCAGCAACAAAAAATTATTACCAGAAATAGATTTTTGATAAAACAAAATATTACCAGCAATAAAAATTTTGTCAGCATTAAATGACCCATTGAGGTTGATATACCATAAAACAAAACAAACCAAACCATTTTTTGACCCAAATGTTGTTGGGTAATGGGCACGTGTTTCTGGGCTAATTTTTTCACACTGAATCTGAAAATCAAGTCCATTTTCCCCATTACATCATGTTTTCTCAGTACAGATAATTTCTATTTTTATTAAAATAGGCCAAAATACCCATTTAACAGTGATATGCCAGGACCAAGTAGAACCAACCTTAAATGTTTTCAGGTTAGAATAACTTATCATAAAAGAAAAAGTATCTGAATAACTTAATGCATTTTCAGCATTTAAGTTCAGAAAAAGTTTTTAGCAAAATCTCATACAAAATTAAATAAGGCAAACATGTGTGATCAATTTTTGAATCAAAACAGGCAATGATAGAAAGGAATGAAAAACACATTCATTTTTGTTCATCCAAGGTTATAAATCTCTTCTTGGAAAATCTACAGTGCTTTTGAAAGGGTTGGTCTCTTTGGATGCTTCAGCAGAAATATGCCATCATGTTAACATCCCATCTGCAAAGTGACTAATTGACTATGCCTATCTGGTGTTTGGTGGCTATTTTAAGTGCTGATAAAGAAAATTCTAATCTTGCTAGTCTCAAATACACTCACCTAACACCCTAACAACCCTCATTTATCGATGTTCCTATGCATGTTATTCAGAGACTGCATGACAATACCAGACCTCTGTAAATTCAAGTGATATGATGAAATCTTATGATGGTTTCAGGCTTAAAATGAAAACTACTAATAAAAACTAAAATCACTGTTCTTGAATGACTTCGAAAGAGCTTCTTCTATGAAAATTAGAGAAGAAACACAAATCACAAAGTTTTAACCAGCTAAGAACATTGAGGGCACAAGAATATTTTCCAGTGGGATATCTCTCATAAAATCAAGCATTTTCAGGTCAGCTTATCTGTACTGAAATAGGTTAGAATTCATTTTGAAAGTTATTTGGATTCCTTTTCTTGAATGATAAATCATTTTAACATGAAATGAAATGTTTCAACTATGTCACTCGCATATTTAAGCTGTGGTATATCCCTGTGAATTAGGCATTTTGGTGTATTTTAAGTAAAATAGAAATTATCTGTACTGAGAAAATGTGATGTGATGGGACAAAATGGACTTGATTTTTGTATTCAGCGTGAAAAAATAGCTCAGAAACATGTACCCATTGCCCAACAACATTTGGGTCAAAAAAAAAAAAAAAATGTCAATCAGTATAATCTGAATAACTCATCAGAAAATTGCTGAATATAAATAAAATGTCATTTTTTATATTTTACCTTTCTTCTTCTTCATATTTTTCTCCTTGTTTTTTTTTTTTTTTTGCTCTAAAAGCACTTCTCTGATATTTCCATCTTTCTTTATTTCATATGAAAGTTCTCCAAATTATATTTTTTGAGGCTCCAAACTATTTTGTTTTTAATACAACAGCCATAAGATACTAAGGTTGAGCAATATATTTACTATATGTATTTCTTGGTAAACAATTATTACAAGTTTAAATTCTTTTCTTCATCAGCAAATATCAAAAATTAATTTTGTCTTAATTCCCCCTTCTTTATTTCTAGACTTATTTGGTACAGCACAAAACTGCTTGTGTCGATGTTGATTCTCGAGGGCACAGCTGTAAAGAAAGAATGATGACTGTCTTAACAGAAGAACCTTACACAGCCACAGTAAAGGAAGGCAAAAACATGGGGTAAAGACTTTTATTTATATCATTTATTTCTTTTGTTACCATTTTTACGATAAATACAAGGGCAGTCTGAAAACAAGGAATTAGAATTATTTTGTAACACTTGTCAGGTCATGTGTGTTTTGTCTTTACTATTTATATATGCTAGTCAGTGGTGCATTATGGGTAGGTCTATTGTATTATTCTAATGGTTATTAGGTGGGCATAATGGTTATGTTTCGAATTATTCTAGGGGCTACTGAGTGGTAATAATTGTGGATCTGAATGCAGTTAATATACAGAATATATATATATATATATATAAATATATATATATGTGAAAAGTGTGTGTATATAAATATAAATATATATATATATATATATATATATATATATATATATATATATAATTATATATATTATTATTTATATATTATATGCACGGTACTAGAAAGGTCAATATAGAAAGCTCAATATCAGAGATAGAGTTTGTAACATATTTGGTTGGATTGACAAATGTGAGTTTATGATATATATATGGGTTTATATATATATTATATATATATATATATATAAATAAAAAGAAAGAACAGTAAGACAAACTCTTATAGATATTTTACAAAATAGTGCTCAATGTAAAAATATATATATAAATATATATATATATATAGATAAATTAATTTTATATACAATTTAAATGTTGGAAAACATACCTATAAGAGGAGTTTGAATATATATATATATATAGAAAACCAAGCAAACTGGAGAAACACCTAAAATGATGTATAACTAACTTTGAAAAAATCGTCTCAACCATCTGAGGGAATTAAGAACCAACACTAAATGTTGGGCCAATACATCAAGCCATATGACAGTCAACTCTTCAGCATGTCACTTGTGTGGACTTGTTTGCAAATCCCATGCAGGATTGTTATCTCATATGAAACATAAACATAAAAACTGAACTGAAAGACACTCATACATTGAGTCCATCATATATATATATATATATATATATATATATATTATCTATCAGTCAGTTATATGCCATGCGTGATACATGCTTAGGCGATCATGCATCTTTTGATACATGACTGACAAGGCAGATTTTTTTCCCGCAGTAAGTTGCTATTTCTTTCTACAGTAGAGCAGTTGCCATCCAAGGCTATAGATTCATACCTTTCCCAAGGGTATTAGCACGTAAGTGAATGTAATGGATTTGACTGGAATTCGAACCCGGTTCTCTGATTCCTCAATCCGTGCCACTATCCATTACTCCACTGTACATATATATATATATATATATATATATATATATAGAGAGCTTCTTAAACATTAAAATAGTGATTAATGGAAATAAATATGAAAAGTATTTTATTTACATTCTAAAAGTCACATTTCATGATAACTAAATGACTTTTTCTTTCTTTTAAGGTTTTCTGATTTTCAAGCTGTAGAATGTTCCAATATGGCTGAAGTAGAAAATATATTCAAAACTGTTCAACTGCTTCAATTATACAAAAGACATGTAATGAAATAAAATATGTAACAATTCTTTAAACAGTATTAAAAAAAAACAATTGCAATGTTTTCAGTGTTTTGCTTTCTTGCAATAAGTGCTTTTTATACCTCATCTGATAAACACTTTGTTTTCTCAGACTTCTTTCTTCATTTTGACCATTTAAAGGCACTCTGGGGTAGGTGCATAAGAATTTTTTTTAAATTAAATTGAACAAAAAATATGTATAAAGGAAAAAAAAGAATTGAAAAATTACAAAAAAATAGGCAAAAAAAAAGAAAAGAAAATTATTAATGTTTTTGTGGGTTTGGTTAAAAGAGTTTAGGGAGAATGAAGATCAAGCCACAACAAGATGCACTGTAAAATAATGACAAGTGACTCAGATATAAAACCAAAACAATTTTATTCAAATAAAATAAGAGCAAAGTTTACTAAATATTAGGGATAGATAAATTTGGTGGTTTGTGCACCCAGAAAAGAGTGTAATAAATTCCTGGACAAGTAACTTATTTTTTCTAAAATAAGGCTCAATGGTAGTTGTTGGAAAAAGATCAAGTTTATAATCAATATCAATCAAATAGCATGAGACATGACAAGAAAAATGTCAGCATACAGAAAACAATACAAATTACAAGAAGGTACAACAAAAAGGTTTCGGTGATGTTGAATCCAACATATAAAATGTGAATGTTTATAATAGTTCTTGTGATTTGATGTGAGTTTGTGACAGAATCTGTTCATGCCTTCTGAGTTTCCAAAATAGAGCATTGTTTTTCAAACAGTACTTGTTCTCAGTCATGGAAATATTTTGTTATAATAGTCAGAAAATAAGACTTAATTCTCTCATAAAAATGACAATTTAGTTGTCAAGACTTCATTGGGGAGAGGTATCATGGCTGTTTTTCATGCTTCACACTTGGTCAGAGTTTCAGATGTTTTTAAAAGGCATTGCATCTCCCACTCATCTGAGAATCGGTTGTGTCTACTACTCCCTGGCGTTGGGTCTCCCACTGCTGTTGATGCTTGTATTACAGGGATGTTTATAGCCAAAGATTGGCTCTGATTTACCTGAAAAATTTTGGCAGTCAATACAGATTTCAGATTTCAACTGGTTTGAATAGCCATTGGTTAAAAAAAATCACATTTATCAAAACAATTTACTGTAGTAGAAAAAAAACTTTTGTTTTTCTTTCTCTTTCCTTCATCTTCAATTGCCCCCCCCCCCCCACTTTCCACTTCTTGATCAAGGAGCTTTGCATATCACAGGCTGGCAGGATTCACGCGTCAGTAAATTATTTTATTACTTTCATTCCCTCCCACAAATGAGAGCCAAAATTTACTCAGAGTGGATAATTTTAACAGAATGAACTCTTACATTAACCCTGGAAGTCTCTTACACTTGGTGAAGGTATCTTGATGTTGACAACTTGCTGACAGAAAAGGACAATTATACATTCATTAATTTATAATGTCTACCATTTCCATTAAGGCTATGATGTGGGGGGGCTCCTGGCCTGTACCCTTAGACTTTGTGGATGTGCATTGTAATTGTCAATTCAGAAAGTGGGATTGGTATATTAAGTTCAAAATAGTGTTGGCCAATTCATTTCTGCTGCCCTACATATATAGTCATAGGAGAGATTTACAAATGTTATACAAGTGTATTAGTAAAAGTTTTATGATACTTGTTAGATTTTCAAATTAAGAACATGTCAACATTGCTTACTTCTGTTTATACAGTGTTACTTCCTTATACTTTCCAAGCTGTGATCTAAAGGCTATGGTAGTTACCACTTTCAGGGTAGAAAATTACTTTATTTGAATAACTAAGCAATTATAAAATTCATCAACAAAACAATCAATTATAAAGATCACAAAGGACTACATTAGAAATGATAACTGAATACAGTTAATTTTTTAATTTAATTTTTTTTTTCAAACTGTAAATTAGTTATCTCCATTAAGCAAAAACAGTTAAGTTGGGTAAGGTATAAGACACATGAATGATATTTTTTTCAACACTTACAGTACATGTTGCACTATTTTTGTCATTCTCTGTCTGTCTGTCTCGTTAACACTCCTCCTCCTCTCTTTTAAGGTAAATACATAAAAGATACTCTTTTACAGATTCGTCCATCACTAAAATGACCAGTAAGATTGCAAATATAATAAATGAATGTAGCTAGCTGTGAATAAATATTTCTTAAATTAATCAAAAATTAAACACCACAACTTAATTATAATTGCAACAAGTACATTTGAACAGGGAGGATTAATAGTAATAGTAATACCAAGAAGAAAAGACAAACATTATTAATAGCTACAAAGGCCAGGAAATTGTGGAGAGCCTTGATTGCCCTGAAGAGACACATCTCATAGAATAAGGCAGTTTCATTCATGTAAATTTTTGAGTAGTGAATTTTGTAAATATTTTAATTCAAAAATAATAATTCACATGCCCAAACATTTTTGTAAAATATTTGTAAAAGAAGTGCTTTTTTTGGCTTTACTTCATGTTCCAGATAAATTAAAAACTAGTTACTAAAGGTCATAGTAATCCTCATAATAAAGTAAATTGATCTCACCTCTTTTTATTACTGAAATAAGTTTGATCTTCAGTGGGTGACCCATACTTGTAGATTTAGTAAATAACTATATTGAGGGCAGCAGCATAGAATAGGGGTCAGTAAGCTAGTCTAAGATCCTAGCATATAGGGGTCCCTCACTTAGGGTCTTGTGCTATACTAAGTTAAGAATTGTTAAAATCAACAGCTTAAATCAATTTGTTAATGAAGCTACTGTATAATATTATGTAAAGACAATGCTGATTGGCTGACACACAGTCAATACACTATTTGTAATGATGATATTGATTGGTTAACAGTCACTCGAATTGAGTACCTACAGTGGGGGGAGGGGAACAAATATTCGTACATATACAAATTTTTAATTTATTGTATTTCCAACTAATGAATAAACATACCTTTCATATAATTAACTTTATACAGATGCATAATTACTAAATATGCATAGAAAACAGAAAAAATTGATTTAATAGAAATAAATCCAATTTATCCATTTTAATGGGTGAAAAAAGTATTTGAACAATACAAAAAAGAATACACAATCTTCATTTAATACTTTGTAAAAAGCCATTATTCACTTCTACAATAACCAACATCTTGTAGTTCTCAATGATTTGCAAATTTTAGTTGGTATTTTGTTCCATTCTTCTTCACATATGATCTTCAGATCCAGGATATTTGTTGGAGCTCTCAATTGGATTTGAATTTTCAAATAATGCCACAGATTCTCAATTGGGTTGAAATCTGGGAACTGACTTAGCCATTTCAGCATATTTACATGCAAGCCATTTCTTTGTAGATTTTGCAGTGTGCTTAGAATAATTATCTTGTTAGAAGATCCAATCAGGAGGAAGTTCAAGATTTTCAACCAAAATCATTAAATTTGCTTCCAAAATATTTTGATATGGTGTGGCATTCATTCTACCATCTATTACTGATATGTTGCCAGTATCTTTTGCAGAAAAACATCCCTAAACCATGATGCTGCCATCAGTAAATTTCACTGTTGGAACTGTGTTCTTTTGTTTGAAGGCATTGCAATCTTTTCTGTTTACATGATTTCTAGAATTACGTTCAAACAACTCAATCTTGGTTTTCTCTTTCCATATTACTCTTTCCCAATACAATTTTTCCTTAAACTTATATTCACAAATGAATTTCAACATGGCATCTCTGTCTTTTCAATAGCAATGGAGTTTTCTGAGGGGAACGTGACTTTAGATTGTTTTTATGAATTTCATTGCCTATTGTCTGTTTAGTGACATAGATTCCTGATGAAAGCAAATTTTCTGACCAAATCACCAGCAGACATTATAGTCAGATGTAGAATCGCCACCTAAAATCATCATTCATGAAAATGCTGCAATACAATGAGAAGCACAGATAAAAATTTTAAATAATAAAAATATATAAAATATTATAACTGTAAACCACTGTGAAGAGTACAAGAACTGAGATTCAGTCTACCCAGGACAGCCATAATGTTGGAACAGAAACAGTGAACATACAAATAGTTTGGCTATCTGCCTAAGAGAAGGAGATAGCAACAAAAAAAAAATTCCAGCATTAAACCCTTACTCCCATCACAGTGTGTCATGACATGTCAAACCTTGGTTTAAAGCAGGGACCTCAAACTCAAGGACACAAAAGGGACTATGTGCTGAGGGAGAGATGCAGGAGGCTATGAACTCTGTGGACAAGTTCACAACCAGCTGTTCTTAGATCCATAAACTTGAATATTTAAATTTGGTAATTTTGAACAATAGGAAATGTGAAAATGAAACAGAAAGAGGGGGGCAGACAGACAAGATTTTGTATGTATTTCAGCCATTTGTGTTTATTAAGTATATCTTTTAAAAAAAGCACAATTTATACGGAATTTTTAAAATGAATCATTAATTCTAAAAATACGGGACAATCCTGGAGAATATGACATCTGCTACCACATTCTGAAAACTTATGTTTGAGGTTGGATTGCAAGATGTAGTCCAATTGGTGAATTTCTCATGGTGAATATTTTTTTTAAGGTATATGCCAGAGACTTATAGTCTGTGTAGATGATAAAATTTCTTCTTTCAAGCAGGTGACTGATGAGCTTTATGACTGTAAAAATAAACATGACATGCTGCTTTTAATTTCTGTTAAATTTCACAAACCAAATTTATCCTTTCTCATTTTATGAAAAAAAAAAAAAAAAAACAAGTTTCCATTTCCTCATATCTAAGCTAGTGCTATTGCATTTCAGTTATTACCCCTCTTCACCTACAATAAGTCTCTGAAACAAGTTAGGATCATTTCGCTATTATTATGAAGTTTTTTTTTTTTTTTAATTTTATGCTTATTTCTGCTTTTCATAATATGAGTTATCAAATTTATCTCTTATAAAATTTAAAAAAAAAAACAACCTAGATATTGATGCAAAGTACATTTATGCCCTTTCATAAGGTATGGTTGGTGATGGAAAGATTAATTTTTTTTTCTTTCATTAAAGAGGAATTATAATAGACCATGTTGACCCTAAAATTGACTGTTTCCACTTGGTGGGTAGTTGCAGCTCAATAATGCTACTGCAAAAATTTGTTAAAATTTGAAGGATATATTGATCACAAAAATGGTTCCTGCAAATCACAGAAAGATAGCCATATGTTTGAGATCCCTGGTTTAAAGGGTATTGTCACTGATTTACTGAAATGCTCTTGCAACAAATTTGTTGTACTTTTAAAAATCTTTGTTCAAAGTCAAGCCATGATGTTAAGCTAAAGTTTTAATTCTGTAAGTCTAAGATGATTCATTTAGACATTAAAATTCCTGAAAGTTTTCATAGAAAAACACTAAATAATAAATACAATTTTACTTTGTAATTTTGAAAGTTGCTTGAAAATATCAATGTTCTGAACAACAGTTTATTCTGTCCCTCTCTCTTTTATGTGTTGTGTCCTTTCAGGGTGTAGATAATCATGCCTCTCCACAATTTATTGGCTTTTGTAGTTCTTAATAAATTTTATCTTTTTGTTATCTCTCCTAAACCTTGTTCCACTATCCATTTACTCAATCTCATAAAGTATATTTCCTGCTGCATTCCTATGTCCCTCTTGTCTTCAATCTTTCCTGTGACTATCAAATTTTCCAAGCCCTCTTTTGTCATTATGTGCCCTAGAAATTTCAATTATCTCTTCTTGGTGTTAAGTATAAGTTTCTTTTTTGTTTACATTTCCTCTAAAACTTCATCATTGCTCCCATATTCGGTCCAGGGGTCCTCAGCAACCTTCTGTAGAACCACATTTCTGTTGCTTCAAGTCTCTTCTTCTGAGAAGATTGTCCAGCATTTATTGCCATCTAGGACTGATATTACGTAACAGTTCAGTACACTTTTCTTTGTTTCTAATACTCTACTTAGCTTTTGGAAGACAATTCCCAATGCACCTTTAGATTTCAGTGTCGCACTTACCATCCTCTGTTAAGACACTTACCAGATATTTAAATTGTTGTACTTGTTTGATTTTGGTATCTCCAATTTTTAATTTGCATGTTGGGCTGTTTCTTTTGCTAACAACAATGCATTCCATCTACCTGCAATTGATGTTTAGTCCTTTCATCTTGCTTTCCTTCACTACCTTCTATAGGAGTTCTTATATCAGGTCATCCCATAAGTTCTGTCCGAATTTTAACTTTTTGTTAAAATTAACAAAATTTAAAGAGTATTTTATAATGTCTAATGGAGCTGAACATTATTTTTATGTTTAGATGCTTTTAAACTGATCAAATTTTATTTCAGAGAATAATAAAATTAAATTTTGTTTGATTAAAACCCTGCTAACATGGAAGTACCCAAGAATCATTTGAGGCACATAATGCTTTAGGAGTTCAAGAAAGGAAACTCAGCAGCCGAGGCGGCTAGAAACATTCACTCAGTTTATGGAGAGGAATGTGGGAATGAAAGAACTTGCAGAGGATGGTTTGCAAAATTCAGAAGTGGAGATTTCACCCTTGAAGATGAAGATCGAACCGGATGTCTAGTTGAGTTTAATGAAAAGCTTCTTGAAGCAGCCCTTGAAGAAAATCCTGCTTTATCAGTTGAGGAATTGGCAGTGGTTCTCAGTTCAAACCATACAACTGTTCATCGTCATCTTCAACAACTTGGAAAAGTTCCTAAACTTGGAAAAATGGGTGCCTCATGAATTGTCTGAAAAACAACCTCAAATCCCGAGTTGACATCTGCTCTTCTCTCCATTCTCGCCAACTTGTTTCACCTTTTTGGATAGACTTGTGACTGGCAACGAAGAATGGATCTTTTTATCGAAATGTTAGCGTCGTAGACAGTGGCTTGGTAAAGGGAAGGACCCCAGCCACAGCTGAGAAGGGAACTTCATGGGCAAAAGGTTCTTCTTTCAATCTGGTGGGATCGCCATGAATAATCCACTTTGAATTCTTACCACCTAATGCAACAATTAATGCTCAAGTATACTGTCAGCAATTAGAGCATTTGAACCAAGCTTTGAAAAAAAAAAAGACCTGCTCTAGTGAATCGAAAAGAGGTGATGTTTCATCAGGACAATGCGTGACCCACACAGCAAGAATCACGTCACAAAAGATCAAGAACTTGATTGGGAGAAAAATTCTCATCCACATTATTCTCCGATCTTGCTCATTCAGACTACCATTTGTTTCTGTAGCTTACAGAATCATTTGGAAGAAACAGCTTTTGTAACACAGGAAGAGGTTAAAACTGACATTTGTGAGTTTTTCGAAGCCAAAAGAATTTTACAGTAATGGAATTAGTAAGCTTGTTAATAGATGGAAGGAAGTCATAGACAATCGGGGAAAATACATTGTTGATTGAATCTGTAATTAAGTGTAACATTTGGTCACTTGTTTTCTTTATTCAAAATTCGCAAAATTATGTTTCTTTTCCGTGTCTGCTATCAACACTGTGCCATCTGCATATCTTATGTTGTCAAGATTGTGGCCACCAATAATGAATCCTGGTAGGACTTCCAATTCTCTCAGAATCGTTTCATTGTATAGTGTAGGTTGAATAAGTCCGATGAGAAGACACATCTTTACTTTACCCCTTTCTTTCTATTTGAGTATATTTACAGAACTCATTTTCAATGGTTTGATGGCAATGTAGGTTCTTGATTATTTTAATATCCTTCCCAAATATGTCAAGGTTACTAAGCAGTTCCAACAGTTCTTTGTGACATGCTTTATCAAACGATTTTGTATAAAACACTGGCACACATCCTTTTGTTTACATTCTTTTTAAAATAACAAAATGAGCGCGCGCACACACACAAAAAATAACCATGTGTTGAAAGAAAGACCTAAGTTGCTTAAAGTGGAATTAGGAACTATTACTGTTCGTTTAACTTCCAAACTGCATTAATTTTAATTTAATTACTTCTTTCTTTGTATTTTTGTCATTACTGAAAAAAAAAGATAGATATTAATTAAAATTTCAAATTAAATTTTATTAAAAAATGTTTTTACTTTGAAGTTCAAATTAGTTTAGTTTTTTTTTAATGTTTTTAAAATTTAAACTAAAATTAAAGCATCGCTAAACAAATAACACTCAACACAAAAAATAAAATATCGGATAAGTTTAAAACTTAAAGCAAAATATTTAAATAGTGTTTTAGTTTTAGTTTTTTTGGCAAATGGCCTGATCATCTCTGATCTTTAAAAATCGATATAAAAAATCAATATTAATTATTGATTATTTTTATTTTTTAGTCATTTTTTTTTTTGACAAACTTGTTCTGATCAAGTAAGTGGGAGGAATGAATGAAAAAATGAATATTTAAGAAAGAGATTCATTCTGCAAAAAGCGGGGAAAAAACTGGTTAATCCTTATTTTACCTTTTTTTTATTTACTCACCCGCTTTTTTCTATCGGCTATTTTATTTACAATGTGATGAAATAAAATAGAATTTTACACGAAAGTTAACTAAAAAAATCTTCCCTTTTATTAACGTTTGAATGAATAAAATATAAAAATATCCATAAAAATAAGAAAATATTTTCTTTCATGATTTTTTGCTTGACATAAAAATAAAATTTGGCTGCCCAGTTATTGTGCAAATTTACGATAAATTTTTCCTTCGATTGCATGAAAATAAATTTGTTTATAAACTTTATGTTAATTACGTCTTGATTGATTGGTTTTATCAACTTTTTATTCAGCACCAGTTTTGGTCATTTTCTTTCGGTCCTTCCGGGTTGTTAATGATTACGTTAAAAAAAAACCTATCTTGTCTTTCTTCTCAGATCCGACCAGTAGAGCATGGAAAAAAAAAAAAACATCATAAAAAATTCCACATGACTAAAAAAAAAATGTTGTTTTTTAAAGAAATAACAAATTAAGGATGTTTTCTTTGACAAAATTTTAAAGACAACATCGAAAAGAAATGGGTGTGTAATACTTTTTAATTAATAGGATCACTAACTACTACTCTTTTCACGATGCCTCTTTAAACAACAACAACGCCTTGTTTGTAAATAAACTTTTTACCAATTTGCTACTTGAAAAGTAGTGAAATATTTTCTGTTTTCTGCAAACAGAGTAATAATGATAATAATCGGTCCCCGAGTTCATATCGATTTTACACTCATTATAAAATGATTGTTCTGATGATAAAGTTGAAAGTAATTAGTAAAAAAACGATATCTACCTGACAAGTGTGTGGGTATCACTTTCTTTTGCGCACGGCTAATTTATATCGATTACGGCCTACCGTAGATATGTTTTTCTTTTTTTTTTTTTTTTGGTAAGGTTTAGCATTGTTATTCTAAAAGAAAAGTTGGCGATGAATCCAATACAAAAACTACTGCATCCAGTCTTTGACTATTTGGGTGACATCGAAGATACAGAACTTCATCAAGCGACAAGGGACAGCGATTTGGATCGAATGAGAAGTCTTTTTTTAAGTGAATCTGCCAATGTCAACCAGAAAAATTGTATGGGTCAAACAGCTTTAGCACAAGCAGCAGATGGTACGTCTGTTGATGGTATTTTTTTTTTTTTTTTAGATGAAACTTTGGTTTTATTTCTCGGTCAGTAATCTCAACTAAAAATGGCATTATGATTAAAAACTAAAACTAAATATGTATGCCGTAGCATATTTGCTGGGATTAAATTTCTTTTTTTCTTTTTCATCCAAGATCAGTCGATTCCAAAACTAAGCATAATGTTGATTTTTGTGCGTATTCTTGGATTTATTACGGAACCCCAGTTGTATAATAAAAACTTTACATTTTTCTTCTTATTTATTGCAATATTCGGATTCTATAATAAAGCATTTTTTTAATAACACTCTCTAACAAATCGAATTGATAAGAAGATTCTTCAGTCAGCTGAAACAGATTTTGCTAGAGAGGATTTAAGTTAAGTCATTAATCCGATTAACAACTAATTTTTTAAACAGCCTTTTCTTTTTTGTTTTAGTTTTATTGACTTATTGTTTATGTACGTTGCAATCAAATTCATTGTTTCTTATCGCTAATGTGTATCCTTGACATTGAAGTACAGATTTTTTTATGTAATTATTTTTTTCTTTGATTGATCACTTTTTTTCTTTAGTACTTTACTGCAAGAATTAGACTCGGCTTGAACCCGAACCGTTAACTAACTTTAATTTCCAAATGTAATTTTTTTTGTTACTGATTACAATTGAGCTTACTCACTAATAAACTTTTGCTTTTTTTAGTATTGTATGTTTATTTATGTATTTTTTTGTTATCATAACAAAAACAAATGTTTGTTTGTTTTGTTTTTTTGTTTTTTTTTTAGAATTATAGAAATTAGAATTATCACGTTGAGTAATGGATAGCGGCTCGGATTGAGGAATCGGAAAGCCGAGTTCGAATTCCAGTCGAATCCATTACACCTGCTTACGTGCTAATAAAGGAAAAGGTATGAATATTCTTCTCCCAGCTATGGGTAAATTAACAGGACACACTTTGGATGGTCTATCGCAAAAAGAAATGGCAAACTACTGCGGGAAAAAAATCTGCCTCGCGTGTATCATGCATGGCACATAACTGACTGAGCGTCCGTTAAATTAAAACTTTGTGTTACTGTTTTTTTTTAGTGTACTACTGTATGAAAAAAATTGGTTCACATAGCAGGCAAAAAATTAATGCAAATCCTAATTACAACAATATTTAGGCATCTACTGTAGCGCAATTGGTACTACTTAAAAAAAAAAAAAAAAAATTGCTAGTGTTTACTTCAATTTTTTGAGGACTTTAGTGCCACACGCGTAGGTAACAATCCCCTTTTTTTTTCCTTTTTTTTAATTAAACAGAAAATTGGACAAAAGTTGTTTACATAAAAATAAATAAATAAATCTGGCACCGGGCCACAATAGTGGCGCATTTAGTGAGGTTCGATCTCTTGGTTGAAACGAGCTGATCACTGCTTTACACTACAGCAAGTGCTCATATTTATAAAGTGGATGGTAGTCTGACAGGACAATACTTGTAGGGTTCAGCATTCAGTTAGTGTCACAATACATTAAATCATTTGCTTGCTTTACGGCAGATACCCATTTGAAAAGCACAAAAAAGCAAAAAACAATCACATTCAAAACATTTTTTAATGCAACTAAAATCAGTTTGCAATTGTGTCCTCACTCCGGAAATAACCCGACTTCATGTTAGGTTCTTTAAGATTACAGAAAAAAAACCTCATTAAATATTTTTTCTAAAATAAAATTAATATTTATTTTAAAGTTTAAAGACCATAAAAATTTTACTTTTTCATAAAACTCATTTAATTTCAAAATTGGCAGATCAAGGATAAAGAATGACGATAAAAGGCCAAAAATAGCAATCAGAAACAGGAAGTTGTGGAGAGCCATGATCGCTCTCGTTCTGAAAGTACATGACACATAAAAGAAGAATTTGAAAATTTTGTTAATTCAGAGGAATTTTCAATATTGTAAAAAAGTAACTATGAAATCAAATAAACAGGCTAAAAATATTGCAAAATATTTTTTAATTAAAGCCAATATGACACCATTAATCTCCCGTAGCCACCAAATGACTGTGTAGTTTATTTGTTTTCTTTCAAAAAACAACAGCATGAATCAATTTCAGTTGTTATTCTGAAATTATGGGAATGCACATTGAAATATAAATAAAAATTATGGTGGAGCTGTTACAATGGGTACTGTAGCCAGAAATAATACGTTTTTCTGTTTTTTCCATGCATTACTATAGATTAAGCACTCCTGGTCACAAATATCTAAAAAAAAAAAAATGATAAAAGTTAATAAGGGGGTGTATGTTTGTTATGTAAAAATCATCATCAATTGACCCCCACCCCACTATGTAAGCCAAAACAAATACACTCATATAACATGATTTCTTAAAATGTAAAAATCTAAAAAAATGTTTTGAATCTCATAATCTGGACTGCTTATGAAAAAAGAACTCCAGATTACAAATTTCATTGAATTTAAAAACGTTTTTTTTAGATTTTAAGAATCATATCGTATGAGCATATTTGTTTTAGTTTTTTGTCAATTTTTTTTTTTAATCAAATTCACCCCAAGCAAGGCAGTAAACTTACTAAGACACAAGGGATTACTCGGTGTGAAAAAATTAGAAAACAGAAAACATTATGAAGGACTGAGAACAATAGAAGAGTAATCAGGAAGATAATAGATAATGGTTGAAATTGCATTTAAATTTTTGAAGATCAAAGTCGACTGGAAAGCATGGAGATGGAAAAGAGTCCCACAAATGAGGAAAAAAAAAAAACTGTTAGCATAGAACTTATGTTTACATCTAGCCATTTCAAGTGTAAATTGATGAGACCTAGCTGCCAATCTAGTGCTGCTCTTAAAGACGTATAGATATGTAAGATAGATTCTGGAGAGAAAAATTGTCTAGCATGACACAGTGAACCAACTTTGTTAGCAGTTCACCTAGCAATGGATTCAATATAATCTTTCCACTTCATGTCAGCTGAGACAATGAATTTGCATAACAAATTTGATCTCCTTCATTAACATTTATAAAATTAATAAAAATATTCTTTTTCATATTCATAATCTGGAGTGTGTAATTTATATTTTAATATGAAAAGAAAGAAGTTGTTTTTGGTTGCATTGTTGATTTTACAACTCCACCAAAATCATGAAAATTCTTAATTGCTAAATATTAATTAGAATCTTTTAATAATTTTATAACGAGTACCCTTGGGGAAAGGTAAGGATGTCTTTCTTCTCTCCCCTACTATGGATAAATAGCAGGACAGACTGGGTCCTATAGCCTTGCGTGGTGAACAGTCTAGAAGAAGGACAGCTCTGAACTCAAAACCTGAGTGTGTAATGTATGGACCAAAGGTGACTCACGCCATATTCTGTAATTTTTGGCTGTTGAGAGATGAACACCACCATGCTATCTGAGAGCCCACATGATGTTCATGAGGAAGAAGAATAAATCTATTTCTTCTGCCCTCAGGTCCCCACAACAATTAAAGCAGTCAAGGGACTGATGATAATGATGAATACAGATTAGGTGATTTTGGTATTGATTTTGTTTTTAATGTTAATAAAATCTTCTCATAGAAGAGTTTAGAGACAGAGCCTCCAAAATTATATGCATATAAATATTTAATAAGATGGGAAATTTAGAATGCAAGCCAGCAGAAAACATACTAACAAAATTTTTTTTTTTTTAAATGTGTGTGTGTGTGTGTGTGTGTGTGTGTGTGATATCTTAATTTATACATATTTTATCGTCTCTTGACTTGAAGTTAATAATCAGAATGCAACTACAAGTAGCAGACTATTTATCTAGCTAGCCTGGGATCAGGTATGACTTGATTACCCTGTTTTTAGATCAGGATTTACTATGTACTTAAAATAAATAACAAAAAGATTAGAATGAAATTGTATTTAACAAAAATACAAATGAATATAATTTTCAAACTTGTTATATTTGATCTTTATTAATCCAATTAAAATTCTTAAAATTTAGAATATAAAATAAACAAAGAAAAGTAAAGAACAAAATTGTTATTAACAGGAAAAAATATTTACATTATTTACAGTCAGATTAATGTCCTCACCTCTGTTATTATCACAGTGTTTCTGTTGTTGTGTCTTCCAGCCTTCCTCATCTATCTGTCGATCCTTGGGACAATAGCCTAAATGATTGGTTCATGAATTTGGTGGATTCATAGTGACATCCATAAACAGTAATGGGAGGGATTAGAAGAAAGGTTTATTCTCCCATTTGCATTTCCCCCATTATGGGCATTATTATATCCATGATCTAATAACACCATAATACATGGACAGAATGGAATGGCTGAAAAGAAAAGGAATGATAAAAATTCTTTGTTCTCAGGGAGATTTTATACCACTAAGACATACACAAAACTATATATACATATATACACATGTCCCATGTGGAAAATAATATACCATATATATCTAAACAGCAAGCAGAGCATAAGGAGAAACAAATAGGATGGGTTTTACATATAATACAGAGATTCTTCTGTTTCTGGAGAAGCCATGTTTAGGACTCCAGATTCAAATGGGCTGGATTTATCTACTATGTCTTGGTGAGGGTATATTCCACAAAGGGGAAATGGTAAGTCTTGGCTGTGAGCCAGAGTTTCTTTCTATAGCCAGGAAAGATATATTTCCAAAGGGAAATGACACCATGGCCTTGTAAGATGTAGCATTTGCTGGAGGAGGCAGATTTAGCCTGAGCCCATTGGCCCAGGCTAAAAAAGCAACTGCTCAGTTTGGCTGTTGTAAACAAAGTGAAATTGACTGGCCACTCTCATCACTGTCTGAAGTGATGCCACTAAGTGGCTGCTATGTGACCCATGTGATTTATTTCCATCAAAGACAGATAATCACCTTTTGTGTTGTAGCATACCTATGGGTGATAATGAGTATGTCCCCATTCACATAAATACAGTAGTAAATACTGTATGTTGGTCTCTGCAGTTGGAGATTTATTGTGGAATTCACTTGACTTACTTCTTGCAATTGACTACTTCTTCTACGCACCTTTGGCGAATCTTATATGTGTTGTTCATGTCCTAAGTATTATCGTTCATTATCAACCTTTGTGATTATTCTATTCAGTAACTTTTCCTAGGTTACATCATTTTGTATCTCTACAATATGAACAGTGGAATGAAAACAATCTATCCCTATAGACCAAATAAAAGGGTCCATTTTGAAATTCCCTGAAGGTTATCTGCATTAACAGATACCTGAAGAAGGCCAGCAGTACAACAATCAAAATGTTGTGATAATGACAACAAAGATGAGGATATTAGTCCAATTGTAAATAATCAAAATTCTTCATCCAAGAAATTCAGACAGAAATAAAGAAATTAATCTATGAAAAATGAAATAAAAAATACATTGGAATATTATTTTTGTTTAATCAATATATTTGTTCACATATTCAAGATCAATATATTATTCATATTTCTAGATTATTAAAATATACAATAAAAACATTTCTCTTGCTTTGAAGGAATATAAAAATGAATAAAAACATTTTTAATATACTTTAAAACTTATTAAATTCTTTGAAAATCTTTATAAAAATTCTTTTTCTTTTTTTCTACACATTAATTTGATAAAATTTATACAAATTTTTATATATCAAGAACAATATTGGGGGGAAAAATGTATAACAAAGTGGAAAAAGGTTTTATGTGATAGATTTCCTCTTTTAGGTCTTCATTGGATTAAGTTTGTTCCACTGGTGTGAGTACACATGTGCACGAATGTGGGATGCTGGGAATTTTAATTTTTTTTTTTTATATAATCTAGCCAATTTCATTTAGATTCTTTTTTCTTTTTGTTTCCATCACTTTTCTTATTAGATATCCCCCACCCTGTGATAGTAGAAGATTTGGTAGGAATGGTGAAATGTTGTACGAATCAGGGTGTAAATGTACTGTGGATATCCTTGTGATTAATACACTCTCTAAACATTTTTGTTTCAGTGAATTGTTTTCTCTTTTGGAAACATTTTTGTTCCCTCTGCTGTGGCCAGGTATTGAACTCACAACTCTTTGGGTTAAATCACTTTTTGGATCACTTAACCAACACTTTTATCCACTTAGGGACAGCAGAAGGAACAAAAACTTGGAGAGTCGAGTTACTAAAGGGAATTAACTGAAACTGAGATATCAAAAAAAATGCATGGCATGTGGAATTAGAGCAATCTACTCCTATGGACTAAATAAAGGGTTCAGTTTGAAATTCTAATATATATCACCTGAAGATGGCTGAAACGTTGTGAATATGGCAATAAAGAGGAGGACAACATTCCGAACACTGTAAATAGTGTAAATAGTTTCCTCATAAAGGTTCAAGTTTGTTTTCCTTAACAATATTTTATAATTGCATTTAATTTAAAGCAATGCTTTAATATTTGACCAAGATATATTGAATGAATTTTCTTGTGAAAAGAGGAAGTAGGGTGATAAATGTGGTAGAAATTTAGTTATGACAAATTCATCAGAGTTTTAATAAACAACTTTATATAAAATAACTAATACATTTAGTTTTTCTTTCTTTTTAGGGGTCATACTTTATACTGTTTTATAGGATACTAGCTTAAAAGCTACCCTATTGGGTGGCATTTAAGCTAGATCCTGTGGAGGGCTCTTGATTGGGCCTTTGGTCCAACAATGATGCTTCATGCATTGAGTACATATTAAATTTTATTAAACTTGAACAATATTTTTCAAACAATTAACAGTTTTCATCAAAACAATAATACAATTTGTCTATTTATATCTTATTGCAAAGTTGCATAACAAAAAACAGTTTTGGTTTTCTCATTCAGGGTCAGCACAAATAACTTGTTTCCATTCCCAACTCTTGAACAACTAACATAAGAGCTGGCTATGAGAAAAGAGGGTTTCATCAGATGAAGTCTAATTACTTTCAGTGATTGTCCTTGGGACTTATTGATTGATATTGCATAGCTCACACTCATTGGAAACTGAAGTCTTTTGAACTCAAAAAGAAGATCTGCAGGAATTAAGGGGATTCTTGGAATTAAAGCTTTTCTTCCTTTCTTATACTAGTAAGGATCTCTGCTTCCAAGAGAAGATGAGATATTTAAAAGTTAGAGAGTTGTGTCCCTTTAATTGAAAAAGTGTGACACAGACATTTTTGCATTTATTATATAGATGTACATATCCATTTGAAACTGGAGATTATTGATTATGACTTTAAGATTGACAGGCACAATGATGATGGCTTTATAATTTTCAAGAAAATTCCTAAATACTAATGATGCTTGATTTAAAAAAAATAAAATCTGTTCCACTAATGATTGTTATCCACTTGTTTCTTTCTTTCTTTTCTTAATGCCAGGTGGAAATGTTGACTGTGTCCGTTTACTTCTGGACCATGGAGCCATAATAGATACGTCAGATATCAAAGCACAGACCCCATTATTTCTTGCTTTGAGGAACCAACATTTGAAAGTAGCAAGAATTTTACTGATGCATGGTGCCAGTCCTGATGGAGATCTTGCAAATGCTGCTACACCCCTTTGCCATGCTGCCTGGCATGGCCATAATGAAGTTATCAAGGTAAGATCCTCAATTAAGGCACCTATTTTCTATCAAGAAGGAAGGTTATTTTATTATCTAGAAATTATCAAAATGTATACGGAAGGTCAGATTTGAATTAAAAATATTGACCAAAGATTTTCTTCTTTATTTTTCAAAATCTTTTTTACATAAATTGTGATCACTGCTCATAACTCTATTCAATAGCATCAACAAAAACTTAGGAAGATCCAATTTGATAAGTCAGAATCATGTAAGCATCTGAAAGTTCTCATCTAAATTAAATTTTTAACACCATAAACACTTGTTGGTAAAATGTTCAAGAGAATCTCATATATGATCTTTAGCTTATAATATCTGTTTATCTATTAAAAATATTGATGACTCTAGGGGTCAGATATGGAGCATCACAATTTGACTATACAGATGAAGATTTGGGAAGGGAATTCCATGTCTGCTGTGATTGATTAATTGATTTGTTTTTTATGGCTCATCAACCTTTTTCAGGTTATTTAAAGCCAGAAAATATTTTAGATTGTAAGATGTTTTAGAGATAATAATTATTTACTGATACAAATCCTACTAATTAACCTATAGCTGGGGGAGGAGGGAAAGAGGTGAATTCATACCTCTCCAAAAGGTATTTGTACATTAGTGAATATAACAAACCTAACTGGAATTGGAACACGGCTTTGATTTCAAATTCTGAGCCATTATTCATCACACTATCTGCACATTGAAGCTTACAGCACCTGGTATTCCCAAATGGTCTCCCATCTAGGTACTGACTAGGCTCAATATTGCTTAATCGGTGATCCTACGCATGTCTGCTGTGAGTTTGCTCATGTATAGCCAAGCCTTCAAAATAGAGACAAGTTCTTCATGGAAGCTACAGAAGGTCTGTTGCTTACTGATTGAAAAAGCCTCAGCAGATTGAAATCTCTTTTAAAGGTGTGGTTCAGTATGTCTATTACTGCTTTCACCTGTTAAACCATGGCCCCCACAAAAATGGGACAAGAGTAGCAAGTTCCCAAGGTGATCAATTTTCTGCTTGTGTTTCCATCATCTGGTCCAAGATTTTTCATAGGTCAGCTGCTAGATAAAGTTATAGTCAATAATAAAACTAATTGCAGCAGATCATATGCTCTTGTTCTGACTTGTTCTTATATTTGATTGACTGGTTTGCTTATGGTACAGGCTTAGGGTGTTCATAAGGAATAACCATGAAGCAATCTGTAGTAATTCTAACTTATTCAAATGGAATTTTCACTTACACAGGTTAACAGAAAAGCATTTGAGATTTTTTTTAAATTATCACTAATGTAAGGAGCATTTCACAATACAGCCAAATATTAACAGTTGACATTTAATCAGAAGGCTTTATTTAACTATTATTATAAGCAAATGGTTTGCAACATTTTTCCTATTGCCTGAGCTTTTCATTCTAGGAACATGTGATGTTTCATAGTTAAAATAACTACAAAACATAACATCAAACTTTGATTGTAAATATATTATATCATTGATTGGTTTTTTCATATTTCAAATCTAAATTTCATTAAAAGGCTGACTAGATGTTGTCCACGAAAAGAACTGTTATCATTAAAATGTACATTATCTTATAATAATCTGATTTCTGTATGTTTAGATTTTTGTTACCATAGTACAGCAAAAATAGCACATTGTAATGCAATTTTCATTAAAATCCTATAATTTGGAAATAAATTAATTTCTAGTCTAAGCTGGTAACCAATTTTTGTGTAATTTTAATTAACCATAAACTAATAAAAAAAGTGTTGTATCTATTTGTCCTTTGGACAAAGAGACTCTTGGATTTATTAATTACTAATTGCAGTCATTTTTCCCTTAATAAGAAAATAAGGGGCATAAGAAGAGAAAAATTCTTGACCCAACTGCATTCTTTTTAATCAGCCATATAGGTATACCAGTAATGATACTTTAACAATAATTAAGCTTAGTGATATTAACATCTGTAAATAATTATAATATTACTTCTATTATTAAACATATTTTTTTAAAAACATTTCAAGAACCAAAGGATATCCAACCTGGCTGGACTAACATATAACCCAAGCAAAATGTACTTTGCATAGGCATAATTGAATACCTATGATTATAATACCATGTTCTTTAATATGTGTATAGAAAATATCTACCTGGTAAATATCTGTCCAGAAAATAACCAGCTATTTGATATTAACAAAAAGAAAATAGCCTACCTAAGGCAGTGGCACCTTAGTCCATTTCAAATTATGAATCTTAAGACTTCATACACTTATCCAAGCACATATTCATTTTTCTAAACATTCTATTGTCATCAGGTGCCCCATAACATTCTCCTTAATCTCGTCCATCGTATGAAATCTCCTGCCATTCAATTGCAATTTTAGTTTATGAAATACCAGAAGTTGTTGGGAGTCAATCTAGTTTGGGGTGAACTGACTTAGTTGTTGAAATGTTTTGCCAGTATATTTCATATGAGGATATTTGAAACGTCTGTATACTTTCTAAATAGCCTGTGGAATCCTAAAACTTCCAAAATGTAGATTGTTTCCAATGGATTCCTGGTAAAGTTTGAAGTGTTGGTACCAAAATTTTATCTAGGTTTCACTTAAAGAGTAATTTCCAAAAGTTTTCTAAATCATTTGTATGCCTACATTTTATTTGTATGCCTACATTTCAAGCATTTTTCTGTGAATGCAACAGTCACACAATAGACAAGCTCACTTAATAGTATTTTACTAATGACTGAGTAACCACATGGAGAGTATCTGTTCACACATGTGCAGTAAAATTCCTGCTTGTACAACCAGTTCTTGAGATATTCAAAATGGTGGAAACTCTACTGACCAAGCCTCTTTGTGCGTGTGTGTGTGTGTGTGTGTGTGTGCATGTGTGTGTATGCATGTGGGTATTTATGTGTATATCTGTATATGCAAGAACATTTGTATGTATGTATAATTACAGTGATAGGCTAATGGTCATGAGATAGAACCCTAAGTATTGTTTAGGGTCCCCTGAAATTTGGTGAAATGCAGTAACTTGATATAGTTGGAACACCTCCAGAGGAAATTTGAGCTATGACGTTTCAATAGCTATTCCCAGCTCCTTCATATTTGCCGCTATAAGATCTTCCATACAAATAAATGTCTCCACTACTTCCCATAAATATTCAATTGAGCTCATGTCATGTGAATATGGTGGTCACAACATTCATTAGAAATCTCCAGAATGCTTCATAAACAAATTCTGGGCAACTTGGACAATGACATGATACATTATATTGCTGGAATAAGCCATCATTTTTTCGGCACGTGTCCATGATTAGGTGAAGCTGGTTACAAAGTAGTGCAATATATTGGTTACTAATGTGTTTAGGTATACCAGTGCACTCAACCTATGACATGTATGCACACCTTACATCATTATGGAACCACAACCAGTTTGCATGTTGCCTTGTTGATAACTGGGGTCCATGGCCTCATTGGGTCTGAATCACATATGAACCCTACTATCAGCTCAAAGGAATTTGAGCCATTATTTATTGGATCATGCCACATGTTGCCATACTCCACAAGGGTTCAATTAGCAATATCACAATCCCAGTTTGATGTTGTTGTGATAATGTAGACAACTGTTTTCCTGTCAGTTTATCAATATTGAAACATCTTATGTATATTCTTTCCTATCTCAAGAGCAGATAAATCATGTATATATATTTTTACAAATATGCATTTATTTGTTTCAGTGAGTTTGAACTTAATCTTATTTTCTGTCAGATTTTATTATGAAAATCAATGTTTGTACAATAAAATTCATATTAGCCAACTAATGTTGGTAAAGCCTTCAGAACATATTTATATTTGTATGTGAAATATATTGTGTAAGTTTCAGTTTGTGTATCTTTTCCCATTCAAAATATTTATAACTTGTTTTGTAAGTGTCAGTGTTGATTAAGCAAAGTACAATATAAACTTGTATGTGTCAGGGTTTATTAGGCAAATGTAATATAAATTTGTAAGTGTCAGGGTATTTTAAGTAAAGTGCAATATAAATTTGTTTGTGTCAGGATTTATTAGGCAAAGTGCAATATAAATTTGTATGTTAGGGTTTATCAGGCAAAGTGCAATATACATTTGTATATGTCAGGGTTTATTATGCAAAGTGCAATATACATTTGTAAGTGTCAGGGCATTTTAGGCAAAGTGCAATATAAATTTGTTTGTGTCAGGGTTTATTAGGCAAAGTGTAATATGAATTTGTATGTGTCTGGGTTTATTAGGCAAAGTGCGATATAAATTTTATTTATAAATAATTCCAAAAGATATAGAAACATATTTAATTATCATAATATTTCTTCTTCTTCTTCTTGCTATGTTCCTTTAGTGTGTAGGTGATAATGGTTCTCCTGAACTTTCTATCATTTGTAGCTCTTAGTAAAGTTTTTTCTTCACCATCCTTCCCATTACTTGTTCTTCCCTCCATTTACATAGGCCCATTTTGGTAGGTTACTTGCCACTTTCCTCTGCCTTTAATATGTGAGAGTGGCAAATTCTCCAAGTCTTCTTTTCTCATTATGTCCTAGAAATTTAAACAGTCTCTTTCTGATTATGTATAAGCCACCTTTTTGTTTCCATTTACCTTTTTCCTTGTTACACACATGTTCATTTCTTAGTTTTCTCAAGATCCTTTTGTAGAACCACATCTCTGTTTCCTCAAGTGCTTCTTCATCTGTGGAATTCACTGCCATAGGGGAGGACTGATATTACATAAGAATTCAGCACTCCTTTCTTTGATTCTAATGAAATTTTCCTGTTTTTTAATACTTTGTTTAATTTTTGGAAGGAATCTTACACTATTCGTATGTGCCTACAGATCTTGGTAACACTTTTTCTGTCTTCTGTTAAAACATTTCCTAGATATCTAATCTAATTAAATAATTGGTTATTTGTCTTTGGATCACTCAATAACTTTACAATATCTTGGTTCTCTTTTCAGCTTATATCTTTTTGACCACCTATGACAATCTTTATATTGTTGTGGAACAGAAAGAACTAACATTTTTATGACTACAGATTCTTGTGAGATTGGGTAAAATAAAGACACAAAACATGGAATAACAATAAATATATATACAAACTATGTTACAAAAGGTAAAAAAAGAAATGAAGTTGAATTTATGAACAGTTCAATACAATCTTCAGGGTCTCTGCAATACTTAGATGCCTTGTGGTTGTCAGATTGAAAAGGAAAAATCTGTTGCTGCTCTCAAAATCAAAGGTAAAAGAGAAAGAACCTTTCAAATATCACACCAGCTGTGATTACCATCAAGGGCAGCAATCCAACAATATATATGAAATTATAAAAATAAATATCAATAACTATACTATTATACATTTTTTTTAATCATTTTACCCCAAGCCACGAGACACAAGAGGTTACTGAGTGTGAAAGAATATGAGAAAAAATACATTATTATGGAGAGAGAACAATAAAAAAACAGGAATGAAGAAGACAGAAGTTGATATTGCATTTAAATTTTTGAGGTTGACTGAGAAGCAAGAAGTTGGAAGAGAAGAAACACTTACATATATTATTTGCAACATGATGTACAATATTTTTGTTGTATAATAAAATCTCACACCACAAAATAAGTAATTGTAAATATTTCTCATAAAAAGCAATAAACTGAAATTCACATTATATATTTATCAGGTAAATATAAATATAACCTGGAAATCTTATCAACATCTGTTTAAAATGCCGTTTTATTGTCAAAACATTGACTTTCATAATAAAACCTTGATTTTATCATCAGAACACTAATGCTATAACCATTAGGCCATGCACTCCATATCCCCAAATTAATTATTGTAAATATTTCTTGTAAAAAGAGATAAGCTGAAATTTACATTATATATTTATCAGGTAAATATAAGTATATCCTGGAAATCTTACCAACATCAGTTTTATTTTAATCATTCCACTTGAGCAAGGTGATAATGCCACTAGAATGCAGGGGTCTACAGGAAGTGAAAGATAAAGAAAAAACTTTAATAAGGAGGAGTGAGGAAGGGATAATAAAGGAATAGGGTTCAGGAAGACAGAAGATGGCAATTAAAGTTGCATTTAAATTTTTTAAGATTGTAGGTGGCAGGGATGCAAAAAATCAAAAAGGAGTTCCTCAGGTAAGAAGTGTGAGAAAAGAAACTATAAGAATAGAACAGATGGTCATAGCTAGTTCAAAAGTAAAATGGTGAGACCTAGTTGCCAATCTAGTAACAGACTTAAATTCATGCAGTTGAGGCACTAAGGAGAACAGCCCATCAGAACAATTGCCATGAAAATATTTATAGAAAAGACAGAGGGAAGCCATGTCACATTGGTAAGAAAGTGAATGAAGTCAAGATGCCAGGTCAGAATCGATTACATTACAGACCCTTCCTTGAATTTTGTCAAGAATCTCAGAATATATAGTAGGAACACTAGATCAGATATGGCTGTTGTTTAAAATCTTGTTTTATTTTTAAAATGTTGACTTGAATAATAAAATCTGGCAGAGTGTAAGTGTATTAAATATCTGTATTTTGAAAAACTGTTTCCTTTTTTTTTTTAATTCCATAGTTGCTATTAGAATTTGGTGCTGATGTCAATTCAGAGCATCGTGATGTGCGAAGATTGGATTACCAAAGTCCTTTGAGTTTGGCGTTTGCCTATCAACACTTGGAGACTGTGAAATTATTACTACGGTATGGGGCAGATCCTAATATAGGTGGCCATCTTTATCACCAGGCTGCAAGAAAAAAATACCCGCTCATCTATACTCAACTTCTATATGAGTTTGGTTCTAATATTTACCGAAAAGACAATTCCCAGGCATATGCATGGGAAATTGACCAAGGTCAAAGTGAATGTGCACAATACTTAAAAATGGTCAAAGGTGAGTATATTATGCAGTGTAATGCTGAATATAACATTGATTGATTTGTTTTTTATGGCTTATCAACCCTTTGCAGGTTGTTTAAAGCTAAAAAATATTTTTAGATTGTAAGATTTTTTTTGAGATAATAATGATTTACTGATACAGATCTTACTAATTAACCCATAAGAGGGGGTAGAAAAGGTGGATTCATACTTTTCCCAAGTGTATTTCCATGTAAGTGAATATAATGAACTCAGCTGGAATTGGAACTTGGTTCTGAGCCATTATCCATTACACTAATTGCACATCCAAGCTTACATCACTTGGTATTCCCAAGGGTTCACTGATCAAGGTACTGATCAGGTTTGATGTTGCTTAACTTAGGTGATTGTACAGGAACCAGTGTTTCAATATGATGTGGCCATAAGCCTTTGAGTATAAGATAAATAATAATAATGTGTGTGTCTGTAAAAAATGATAACAAGGTGATATCCTTGACAGGGCAATGGTAAATATAAATGGATATCTCAAGGACACATGGCACAGTGGATAAGTGACAGTGAGTTCAATATCTGGTTAAAGTGGTGGAGAACTTGGAAAGGGGAATTAACAAGAGATAACTGATAACGGACATCCATTAGACATGGCATGTGGAACTAGAACAGTCTATCCCAGCGAGCGAAATAAAGGGTTCAGTTCGACATTCCAATCACCTGAAGAAGGCCAGAGCATACAACAGCTGAAACGTTTATGATAAATATGGCAACAAAGATGAGGACAATAGTCCAAATAATGTAAATAGTGTACATAATACTTCATCTCAGAAATATAGACAGATAATAAATGGATATCTACCTTAACACTATTTACAAACAAAAAATAAAACTTAAGAAATTTGGAAAAGGAATTGTTAAAAAAAGAAAAGTTTCTTTTAATTTTTTAAGTGAAATGTTCCTGTAATTATAAAATGATTCTTTTTAGATTTGTGTCCCTAACATAATTGTTTTTCTCACAATGTTTAAACCAGTGTACTCTTAGGACTTCCTCAGATATCATTTATATATGACATGCTTTAGAGCAGAGGTTAGCAACCTTTTGCTGACTATGTGCCGACTTAGGGTTTTAAATTCATTCAGTGTGCCTACAGCATGCATATATTTATACAAGTCAAAGTCAATATACCTGTTCTACAATATATTTTATATAGTAATATATACAATAATATGTAAATCACATCGACAGAAATAAACTATTTTTAAAAGTTTTTTAAGTTTTTATTATTAATGGGAGTCCAACGAGTGAGCAGTTTTGAAACGGCTAAATATCGTTGCATTGTAGTAGTTATTGGTTCAGACTTTGTGATGTCATTTGTGGCTGTGTGCCATTGGAAATTGCGTGCTATAGGTTGCCGACCCCTACTTTATAGAATGCTGAACAGAACCTTTTATACTAATAAGCCAAACATTATAATCACCTGCCCAATCAGGCAATGACACTACAAGATTTCTGGAATGTAGTGGCAGGATGCTAATGGTTAATGCTACTTTGTTTGCAAGTTATATGGTAAGGGTTCTACAGAATTAACTTGTTGATCTAGTTTTCTGGTCATAATCTTTTCTTTTATCAAAGTCATTCAGAACTTTCTTCTTGTTTATAACTATAGCATTCAACACATGAAAAGAAATTACACTTGCATATACCTCTTACATCAATATGCACAGTTGTTATGAGACAGTAGCTGTCATTCTTGCTACATACCTCATAAGTACTCAATGGGATTGAGATCTTGGGAGTTTGGTAGCCAGGGCAGCATAATGATGTCTTCATCATGTTCCTGCAACAATTCCCATGCAAAATGTACAATGTGGCAGAATGCATTGTTCTGTAGAAAGATGTCACTGCTAAGAAGACTGTTGCTATAAAGTGGTATATCCTGTCTTCAAGATACTGACGTAGGTGATATGCAACAAAGTATCTTCTGTATGAATGATAGGAATCAGTATGTCCCAGCAGAACATTGTCGAAATCATCACACTGCCTCCACTAGTTTCTTTACCTATGGTGCATCCTGATGCCATTGCTTCTTCAAGATAACAACACACATGTACTCCATCATCCACCATATTCTGGAGAAAACAATATTTATTAGACCAGGCAACCTTTTCCTAGTGATAAAAGTTTCATTTCTGACAAGTGCTCATTAAAGACACGTTCGGCAACAGACATTGGTTAGTATGGCTACACTTATTAGCCTACAGTTATGCAGTTCCACATGCAACAGAGATCAATGCACTGTTATGATGCATTCTTTTTTTACCTTGTTTACAGCTATCTGCAAGTTGGGCCACAATAATTCTTCTAATGACTTCTTACAGGTGAGAGAGTCTCCCTTCACTTCTTGCATCAATAAGTTTTGGTTGCACAATACCTTGTTGGTAGTTTGTGATTTTTCCTCCTAGGGTCACTGCTGACAATGTGCATACTACAACTCATAATGAGCACCCAACAAGTTATGCTTATTTGCAGATGCTTTGATTTAGCTTACTGGTTATAACAATGTTATCTTTTATCAAAATCATTCAACTTTTTCTTCTTGTCCATAAATGCAGCACTCAATGCAAAAAAGTACACTCTGAAGCTAATATGCACAGTTGTCATGAGACAGTAGCAGTCATTCTTGACACATATTATTGGTCATAATATTTTGACAGCAAAGTTTAACTTTTGTGCCCACCAAAAAATGGTGTGTCAAAAGGACAGTTTTTCCCTTGACACCACTATTATTTATACCCCCTTCACTCTCTCAACAATGTCTATTGTTTTAAAAAGCGGTGATTAGAATTTTAATAAAACTCAAACATATCAAAGTGAATTTATACATTTTCTTTGTTCTTGAGAATTTACAACAAAAATATTAAACACTATTTATTTATTAGATTGTTTATTTACAAGAATAATTTTATATTTACAACCTTCTAAAAATGTGAACCAACTAATACAATGAAATGTTTATCATTTACTAATTTATACAGAAATAAATATTAAAACAATTTTTTATTCATAAATTTACAAAAATGTACTAAATCATAAAAATCTGTGAAACAACTCTAATGAAATCTTTATTATTTACCATTTTAAGATTAATACAAATAAAATTTGTCACTAAGCTGATTGATGTTCTATTCATCATTTCAACTCAGGAGTTTCATAGAGGAAGCATTTTACAATCATTCTGCTCACTTTTCAGGAGGTAACAGCAGAAGTTTGAATTAATTTGCAATTAGCTGATGCTTTGCTAACCATTCCAAAGAACACATTCCACTTGCTTTGTCAATTTCTTTAGTCAAGGTGCTTAGTGTTGACTCTTCATTTAAGATTTCTTTATCAGTCAGCACTTGGCTTGACAATAAATCATTTTTTGGCAGATTTTCTTGTCAGTTTTAGAAAAATTAGCAACAATTTAAAATTTTTTTTCAAAATTAAGTTTTTCAAAAAGAGTAGAAAGTGGGGCAAACTATTAGGTTGATGCAAAAATAATGACGTAATAATGTTGTTTTTTGACGTTAATACGTCAAAAAACGACATTATTACATCATTATTTTTGCACCAACCTAATATAATTGCTGAAGTTTCAGGCCTTGCATTTCTATTAATTAAACATCCTTGAATGTAAATCACTATAAGAAAAAATTGGAAAATTAAAACAAAAAGTAATCTTAGATATAAAATTGTTATATAGGAATAAAGTGTCACTACTGACACTTGAGTTTGAACATAGATCACCAGTGAGCAAACACGGGTGATCCCATTATTGAATTAAGTAGACCACATGATCATAGAGGAAACACATATATGGGAGGTAGTGTGTGTCTAATTGATCACATTTCTATTCTATCCTCTATTACTGTTCGGATCACCATTTCTACTCTATCCTCTATTACTATTTGAACTGCTATTCTCTATTCAGATCACTATACGGTGGTTACTTTGAGTGAGTATTATTGTTGTAGCATACCTATGGACAATAATGGGTATGTCCCCATTCACATAAATCCAGTAGTAAATACTGTATGTTGCTCTTCAGTTGGAGATTCATTGTGGAATTCACTTAACTCATTTATAGCAATTGACTATTATAGGCTATGGGCCAGAGGCCAAAAAAGGGCTTAGATTTTGAGTTCGTGGACATTTTATTCACATGATAAAATTTCAAGTGTTTCTAGGAGTATTTTTCGTGCTGATTTCAAATCTGAAGAGATCTCCAGGCTAAATGTGCGCACTGCTTCAGAAAAGGGGAGATAATACAGGGTGTGTCATTTATGGAAAAAGTCCATTTTCATGGTTTACTTCATGTAAAATGAACTTTAAATAAGTTTTTAGCACATTTAAGTGTATCAACAAGAAGCTGATATATCTATGCTCTTATATTATGTGTTAATTTATTTAATCAGGAATTTTCAGCAAATAAAATGACTTGCATAAAGCCATAACAATGAAAACGTTACTTTCTATTGTGTGAGTTTCTCAAATTGAATAACCTAAAAAAAACATTGCAATGTACATTAATTTGATAAAAAACATGAAAAACCTTTATATATGTTTCCAAATCTTGTGCCTTCCAAAAATCATAGATGGAAGAACTGTTTTCAAATACTTCTGGTGATTGACTTTTCTTCATTTTGGACTGCCATTTACTTTTTGATGTAATTTTGTCACACATACACATTGACTGATATAGAAATCTTAATGTTTAGACTAACTTTGACTATATATATAAAAAAATATTGTAATAAGAGTTTTTTTTCAGTTATGTTGAAATAATTGTTATCAAGTAATACATTTATAAAAGGAATTGAAAAATAATTGATTGTCCTCTAATCCTGCAAGCTCATCTTATCATTCACCCTCTGAGGAGTCAGAATCTTCTATTTCATTAATCTGCTGCACTTCATTATTTTTTTAAGTGCATTAAAACAATCTATACACGGGCAAAGGTCGGTACAAGGCAGTATTTGACG